TGACCCCCCCCCCCCCCCTGGCACCAAAGCTGGATCCGCCCTTGTATTTCACATTAGTTTACCACAGAGTTTCACATTCAAAGTTTGAAAGAAAACATTGGCAATGTTTCTAACCGGCCAGTTCTGAAAACTGTCATTGTGTTAGAATATTCAGAAGTACACCGCTTGCCCCCATTTCCCCACGACATTTTCTTGTTCCACACATCACTGAACACGTAGTGCTTATTCAAATTCAATCTTTATACAAATAGACGCTTGCGCGTTCTTATGTAACAGAATTTTACATAATAATTGATATAATAGTTCGTAAGTTACCACCGCTTCGGAAGGCGAAAAAGAGACCGGCAATAAACTCAGCAGTCGTCGTTTTTCTTAAAAAAGATCAGATTACAATTATATGTGTATAATATTCTTATTTTAGCCTAACGTAGTGAGTATCAACAGTATAAATCATTGTTTCTTAAAACCTGAATAACTTTACATGAAGAGGTCGCAAATCGCAATAATTTCATTTTTTGATAAAGGCAGTCTAAGAAATAAAACTATGAAGAATGAATTGCAATGTCGCGTACACAAATGCACACATCTATCATTTTATTTTTATAGAAGATAGTTTAGGCAAATTAATTCATGATAAACTCAATCCGACCGCGTCTTTTAGAATAGGAAAATACATCAGGATTTTTTCTAACCAAGACTTGACCTGGGCCTCTCATGAATATTTCGCTGACGTTAACGACGTTAGTTTTAAGTACAACTTTGAACTTAGAGACTTGAAGCAAAGGCTTTTTGATATTTTGCCGTGATAGCTCAGTGGCCGGGCGCTCACTTTTAATTCAATTTACTCGAGCAACCTAAACATGATGTCATGTAAATTATTAACCAATTAACCATAAAGTCTTGACACTCCTTTTTTTTTGTTTACGCGGGGGAAATGCTTACGCATACCAGCCCTCGCGGGGGTAAGAGCGGGTTATGTCGGACTCGCACTGACTAAAACCTCCACGACGTTACACCTAGGCGCATATCGGAAGGGTCACGGGAACGCTTTCGCACACTTCCGTGACACTGCCAGCGCTGGAAAGTCTTGACACTCCTACCCATATATATAATTGAGAAAAATTTAACAATTTTATGCAGATTTTGTTAATGAGATTTTTGTTATTTTTCCCTACCATCCCCAACTAAATAGGGTAATGTAATTTAATAGTATTATGTAAACCATACAGACTATTAAGTTAATAACATGTATGAGTTTTTAGAGCCGTGATAGCTCAGTGTCCGGGCGCTCGCCTTTAATTCAATATACTCGAGCAACCTGAGTTCGATCCCCGGTGCCGGCAACAATGAAGTTTTTAACTTTAAGTGCTGACTTATCACGTGCTCCGCGGTGAAGGAAAACATCGTGAGGAAACCTGCATATTATCGAAATAATAATAAAAAAAAATATATATTTCGAAGATATGTGAAGTCCGCCAATCCGCAGTGAGGCCGCGTGGTGGACTATGCCCTGATACCCTCTGTATAGAGGAGGCCTTTGCCCAGCAGTGGGACATGTATAGGCTGTTACTTTAATTTTTCTTTACTATAAGTTTTTATGATTTACATCCATTAAAAACTCATACAGGGCACATGACAACATGCAAATGTTCGAATTTCTCTACACACATTTAGTTTTGCGTTACTCAGAAAAGTACTCTTTCATTATTCAACACCTTTTCCCTATTTATTTTAAACCTGAGTGTTTTGGAAACTGGCTCAATTTAATTATGTGACAAGGTGGCAAACGAAACTGGTGGTTCACCTGATAAATGATAACCGCCGCTGTTGACATTTGCAACAACTGAAGGGTTGCAGATGCGTTGGCAACTTTAAATAGTGGCTCCTGGCCTCACCACACTCACCAGACATAATGCAGAAGTATAAAACTTCCATTTCACGCTGGTCTTCTGTGAGTTTGTGGTGCTTCCCCAGATGCGGACCTGCCCATTGATGCAAAAGTGAACACTGTTTTGTGGCCCCACCACAGATAAAATGTTGTTTACTCTTGAAAAAACCTAGATCCCACTAGATCCAATGAACATTTAAATAAACAGCTAGTTAACTGTGAAATACAGCTAGTGATGATCCAGATATGACATAGATATCGATTATAAAAAAATAATACATAGTATTTTCTGATTTTCTTCTAGACTGGTTCAAGTTTGGGAATTTGTTCAAAAAACAATGTAATTAAACTATCTCCAGATTTAGTTTGGTATTTAAAATTTATTGAATAGTTCTTTTTACTATTGTATAGTAATTAATGGTTGTTTTTTATTTCACCAAAATTAAAATTTCAAAGTTGATTGTATTGATGGATTATAAAAATAGGAATAATATTTACTAATCAGTAAACATCAAGTATTTTACGTTTTTACTAATTCTATATTTTATTAATATTGGTGGTGGACAAGTAAAATAGCGTTTTTACAAAAGTATCAGAACTAGTTTATTACATATATTTATTATTCACACAGAACACAATTCATGGACATTTACTAACCTTAGATTTTTTGCCTTTACAAATGAAATGGTTCCTATTTTAACCCTCAAGACAAATCAGTAGCAACAATAATTACTAAGCTTATGAACATGTGATTTAGTAGCTAACAATCAATCAATTATGTTGGCAAATTGTTGAAATCTCAAAAAAACATTAAATATTGTAACTTTATGAGATAAGTTAACTGTAAGTATATATGGTCACTTCTAATTTTTATGACGTAAAGACAATATTATTTTAATTACAAAAATTCAAAAACTTACCTCCATAATTATAATTTTAGAATCATTTGTCAACATTGTTTTTTATGCATGGTCATACCATTCAATTTGTATGAAATCTTGTTAGTAAAGTTAATTCTGAATACCAATATGACAAGGTTCTGTGAATGACTATTACTGTAAATTATTGAAAACAAAAAATATCAGTATTTTACAATATGGCTGTTATATTAGACTTGAAACTAGGTCCAAACTTTTGCGGAAAACTTATAACTCAAACATTAATGCTATAACTTAAAGTATCTTTGGGCCAGGGTAGTGAAAAATAATTGTGTGCGACAGAATTATTAAGTATTAGTAAGAATAGAAGTTGACTGTTTTGTACAGTTGTTTCCAAATAGTACTAAAACAGTCACAGGAGGAATGGCTATATTAAATCAGATAATGTGATACTAATCCTGATTCCATCTCACTAAAATAAAACAACTGAAACTGTGGTCCGAAAAATATAATCACATACTTAAGAAACTTATGTACTAAAGGCTTAAAATTATCGTCGTCCACGTCCACGGCCGCCCCGTCCCCCTCTGGGTCCACCGCGGCCTCCGCGTCCTCTGCCCCTTCCGCCTCGAGCACCTCCTCTTGGAAATCCCTCGCGTTTACCGCGGCCTTTCGGAGCGTCATCCAATAACAAAGTCTCTATCGGTAGACTGTCTGGTAATAGATAATATCGAATATTATTTCCTCGTATGCTTAAAGTTTCCAGTTGAAGTTCCTCCTTGTTCTTCAATGTAACTTTAACAGCCTTAAGATGCGTATTCATTGCAACATCGACACCTGTTATCGTGCCATGGACGACGCTACCGTTCTTTAACTCAATTGTCACCGTCTCGTGACTCAGCTTCATCAAAAATCTCACAAGCTTCATGTTTATTGTGTTGATAAAATAGCTTTTAATTAAAATACTAACGGCGTCGGCTCAATATGATAACCTCAAATTCGGCTAAACAAAATTATGGCGGGTTTTAATGTTGCCATATGCCATAACCTAATTTCATAATAATTTCTAAATGTAATATCAATAGTTTTCTATAGTTTTATTTATATATTTATAGTGTGCTTTTTGAAAAAAAAAAATAGTAATTAAAAGCTGCAGATTACACTACTCTGCTGTAACAGGTATAATAATTTAGCTATCCAATTTACAATTATTAATACAACCATATCAATAATACATAATAGTAGTTGTAATATTGTAAATTAATTTTCGTAATTGCAGATCAATTCGTAAGGTATGTGTCCATCAAAAGTGTCAATTGGTGCCGCTACGGTAGCAAGTGGTGGCACTAGGCAGTGGTGATGGCGGGACCCAATCGCGAATTATAAACCGAGATAAAACTAATGAGTTCCGCTTGCTAATAAACTGAATGCTTGTATTTAACTTAGCCTTTTAGCTCTTATGATAAACCGAACCGTAGTTCACATTTTTAATAGTTTTTTTTTGTTTTGTTTTCTATCCTCATTCTTTTTTCGGTTTTTTAGCGCTTTCAATTTAAATTATCATTTTATCGAATCGATTGTTTGATTTTTTTAATTTATTATTTCGATTTATAGCGATTTTTGCGAGATTTGCGAAAGCAATGATCCAAGATCATTTGAAATTAATAGTATTCATTGTGATGAGTGTTATTATAAATTCTAGTTTCTATAGGACCTTGGTAAAACAGAGCAAGAAAAAGGGAATAACTAATCAATTATATGCCACCGTTATCAAATTTGGTACTGGTTTTCATTGGTACAAGATTTCCTTATTTTTCTAACAGAAGCTAGACAGTTCCTGTCACTTTATGTTGTGTTTTTGCACAAACAGTACTTAGTCACTACGTTTAATATTTGCGTTATTAACATTAAATAAATATTTAGGATTTCTTTTATTATATCATTCAATATTTTAAATTATAATTAAGCATTATGAACAATGTAGAAAGTATAGTCGAAATTGAAGAAGAAATTGAAATTGAACCAGAAACTAAAGAGAAAAATATTTCTGCGCAATTGGTATTTACCAACGAACAGGTTATATACTTACATTATTATTTCAAATACATTCAATTTTATTTCAAGTTAACGAAACAAAATATTTACACCAAGATACCTGGTAATACTGAACAACAGGTAGCTGATAGATCAATAAAATTAAATTCATAGAATCTTGGTTTAACTTATATAACTAAATGGATACGACTAAGATTGGTGAATTTTCAAGTAACAATAGTCTGCCTTTAGAAATAGCAAAGGAAGAAAAAGAAATAAAAGCAAAATTGACATTGACCAAAAAACAGGTCTTGTGTTATTCTTATTACTACGTTTAACATGATCAACAAAACTAGCCATCTTTTTCATTTTTTCAGAAAAGAGACTTACATGATGCTTTCAATCTTTTGGATCATTCTGGAGAAGGAAAAATAAAAGCAGATGACTTTCGTGTAGTAATTAAGGCTTTGGGTAAATCAAAATAAATTAATTCCATACATTCATCTCATTGCGAAGAATCTTAAAAAAATATTGTCTACAGAAGAAGTGAGCGTTGCTGTAACGCCTGGTTTAAATAAAACTGTTAACAAGATTACCTGCACTAGTTTACCTATTGCCGGCATACATGTTATATATTCTTATAGTGCTACATGGCGAAATATGTCCTATTCGAGATACTAGGGCACATTTCGCCTTGTAGCACTAGTACGATACGGCGGACTCTCTCATCTTCGAAATATTGGTTTGTTTTTCTTGTATAAAATTGTAATACTCTAAATAAATAGAGTATATTATTATTTAGATTTATATTGCTATAGAGTGCTTGGTAAATCAGGATTCATTACTGGAAACTGGGTTTTGAACTGTGGGTGGCAGAGTGAATTGTAACCAAAGTAAACACTCGAACATTGAGCTGCCACTGTGTCAATGGCTCTCAACAAGATAAAGCAAATTTAACATTCCGTTTATTTTATTAAGGTTGAAAATAGTTTCACGTAATTAGTCTAGCGTCAAAGCTAAAATCATGTTATGATTACAATTTATTTTTTTTTATTTTACCCGTATTGATTGCTAATGTTGTTTTGAGACTATAAAATACATATTACACTATCCTAATTTTCCTCGCATTTAGTGCATATTGAAATAAACGTTTGTATTTTTAGGTTATGAGCCCACTAAAGAGGAGCTGCAACAAATGATAAACGGCGTAGACAAGACGCAATCGGGCAAGTTGAGCTTCGAGAATTTCGAAACAGCCATAATGAGAAAAATCATGTCGCAAGACAGTGATGGCGACATCATGAAGAGTTTCCGCCTTTTTGACAACGATGATACCGGTAGTTACAATGACGTTCCTAAATCACCATCATTATACAACTATGCTTCCCAACGAAAGTTTTCTTCGAAATCATACAACAAACAAGCAAAGTTTTTTTCAGTGTTTGATGTATGGTTGAAGCTTTGCCTTTCGTGTCACTGGTTGCTTGCAATACATACAAATTAATTAGTCTACCTAGTGGGACGCTTCTTCTTCACTCGTAAATGCCACTTGAGAATTTTTCTTTCTCATCACTCGTCACTTTTTCGCGATGGGACCGGTTAGGACTTCCAAAAGTGGAGTGTTATATCGGTAGTTCTTCGGTGAAATTTCTCATTTCGGAATTTATCGTGCAACGAAACTCCGAGCAAAACTCTCTACAGCTCGTTGTTGTTGTCATTTCTGTACAAACATCTCAGTAAGTCGATATACCCTATAGATAAGGCATCGCTTAAAGGACAGCAATACCGTCCTGATCTCTACTTAATCGCATGCTTTCTCAAAGTCCACAAAATATGTAAATAATGGTTTTCTGCATAGTCTGGTGGTATTGGTGGTTTATCTCGTAACTGACTTGTTCAGGAGGTTGGTAGTTATCAATTACCAGATTTTTCCTAATCATCCAATGGGCTGAAATATCTTTATTCATCATTAAAGAAGCATTACACTTGATTGTCAAAAAATGCTACTACCGGTTCGGAAAAAAAGCCAAATTCCGGTTCGGAAAGGGACAATTTTTTTCTAAAATAAATAATACACACATTAAGAATAAAATGTTTACATCATATCACAGGTGTAATAAGTTTCGATAACGTGAAGCGGGTATCTGAACTTTTAGGCGCTAACTTGACTGATGAGGAAATCGAAGAAATGATGGATGATGCTGATAAAGATTTCGACGGCGTGGTAAGAAACAACTTTTTTATTTTTCTACATAAGACCCAGACGGAGATGGCGTGACGACCTGGACGCATTTGCGAGGGATTAGTCTGGTATAGCCCACGGCAAGGAGGAGTGGAAGAAATGTAAGAAGGCCTTTGCCCAACAGTGGGACACTAGTGGCTGAATACGAATACTATAAGACTGCAGAGGTACTAAGTCCTAACAGAATACTGGCATGAATTCCGTTTTGCCTGGTCAGTGACGTAATCAGAGATCTCTCTCTTAAAGATTGATTAATTGTTCGCAACCCCATGGGTGTTGTAGATATCCATGGGTGGCGGGAATCGGTATCGGTACCGATACAATCGCCTGCTCGCTTGGTATCTTCTCACAGTAGAAAAATATTAGATTTCTAGATATAAAACGAAATTTTTAATAATAATTTCTTTACAGATATCGGTGGACGAATTTATGAGGCTTATAAAAACTTCTGTACACATAGACACGCCTTAAATTATTCGTTTCATCCTAAGTAACTTGATGTTTACCTTTTAATAGCTCAAATGTAGCTACGGTAAAATGGTGCATTTTTTTCGTTCTCGTGTCATAAATTAAATACATACCGGTATAAGGCATTATTATTTTGTTAGTTAATAGTTACAATTTATTTTGAAATTAATAAACCATAACATGTAATCTGTATCTTAGATGACAAAAAATCTTGTAGTTAGTACCATGTAGGTACATAAATATTTTATCTGTCAGAAATAAAAAATTAAACGTCACATTGTTTTGTTTTCACAACTTTTCCGTTATAAATTAAACCTAGTTTAAATATAATATAAATCTTGTAAAATTTAAATAATACCGCTCAAACCAGGCTAAAATAATGAATTAATGATTAGTAAATACATTAAACTAACTAATCTTTACTGGTTTCACAAATGGGTAAGTGAAAGGAATATGTAATGCTTATTATACATTTAAAATGAGGTTTGATTTCTATGAACTGCATTTACACTGCTACAGATTCGGAAGAAGTAAAGCTGGAGGAGAAGTGCGAAAATCTCATGAACGTTGTCGTTGAATCACGGAAGAGGTTCGGAAAAATGTGTGTGGAGTACGAACAAAAAACCTCGCTGATGGAGAATAAAATGTTGAATTTACAACTGGAAACAATATCGAACTACAGATTTAAGTCTAAGAATTCCATTCCGCACATAGATGTGGATGATATGAAGGAGGACGTAGATATTTTTGCCACTGAGATTCTAGAAAGACAAAGAAGAATAGAGAATCTAAAGAAGAATCTGAGAAATGTGCAACTCGTTGCATTACAGTTGAAGGAAGATAGAATCGGACGGAAACTTCGTGAGCCATTAACTGCTGAAGACATGTTATCTGTTGCAAAAAGTAATATCTTACAGTAAGAAGATTATTCTAGGCTAATTGTTCAGCAGGCTAAATTAATGATAATGCATGCTCTTCAAGTCAAAATGTGTTTGTGATTTTAAGAATCCTCTATCTCTGTCTTCCAAGAAATTAAAAATATCAATAACTACTTGTATGAAATAAATGTCACATGCGCAGTAATGGCGACTATCCTTTGAGAAAATTATTATTTATTCTTGCAATTTGATGTGATCACCTAATTCTACCTATTAATTCATTATTGATTTTTCTCTTATCATTTTAAATGTAACTGTTATTAACTGTAATATCAATTGCATAATCTGCTGAATAATTGACTGTTCTAGTTCATAATATCTTAAAATTGTGCCATAGGTTTTCAACAGAATACCTTTCATAAAAACAATATTCTATAAAACAATATATAATTGAAGTAAATAAAATGGAGATTTTACCTGTAAAAGTAATACTTATTAATCCAACATATTTATCCCTCTAACAAATAGACATCTGATGATAAAAAGTTTTCTTAAAACTTTTTTAGATTTCTGGGAACACATATTAATATTATAGTATTGTCTCTCGATAAAAACACTTATAGGATTCAGGCATGAAAAATGCTAGTTATGTTTATAGTATTAATTGTCAATATTTACATATAATGAAATCTGAAAAAAAAAATAAGATTTGATTGATTGAGTAAAACTATATATGTGTAGTTGGAATGTTTTGTATTAAATTAAGAAATCATATGACATTAATTCTACTCGTAAATATTCAGAATAGGGCAAATCTAAATAATGACACTGGTTAGTAACAATATACAGTTGATAACAGGCATTTGAAAATTTTTTTTAAAAAAATTTCACCTCCAATTACTTAGAATGATAATTAATGTTAAATCTACCATGTTTCATATTTTAGATGTTCATAAATAACAATGAGTAATGTGGTTTGACAGATCTTTTAATTTCAATAGTATCCAGATTCTGTCAAGATGCTTCACTACTGAGCAATATATTTCATTTTAATTTTTAATCCCAACAATGTAATTTGATGTCCTCTGATCATACAAGTTGGACATTCTCATTCTCTTTCTGTAGTAAAGGCGAGTGAGGATTGAAAAAGGATAATTTGTGTGTCATTAATACAATCACTTCATTGACCACATAATTTGGGATTGAATTACCAGATTATACTACTGGCTTTCTTCCCTCTTTTTAATTTATTGTTATCTTTATCATTTTTCATATAATCTCTCATGCAAAAAATGTGTTTTTTATAGGATAAAATTATGTACGAAATTTGTCAGATAAAGATATTCATGATGTTTTTTATTGTTGAACAGCATATGAAAAAAGCATAAGCATTGTAAATATTATAATAAGGCTGTTACTTTACTGACTTTTTAAACACCTTTTAAACCAGATCCAGTGTTGGTTGAAGGCGGTACCTAACTTTCAGATTTTATTCACATACTCATGTCAAGCCAGGATATATTAGAAGGGTGCATAATCCTACCTAGCATCAAACTCGTCACACTAATATTGGAATTGCCCATAGGCGCTGTTTATCACTTAGCATTATTAGGTTTACTACTTGGTTGTTTGCTTTTTTTTCGCTAAAAATAGAAAGATACAAGATTCTGTTAGTTTTGGTGTTGACTTACAGGAATATGTTTCTCCACTTTTCCCGTAGTCGTGGTAGTGAATTCTTAAAAAGTTACATTAGTGGATAAAGCTTTTAAAACAATAATTATTCCTAGGAGCCTCTTCGCATCTCTTGTTTTTAAAAATTTCAAGTACATATAACATGTCATAAAAATTAGTGGTCGTTTAAGACCGATTTACACTGTGAAGTAGTACAGTGAGTAAGTCCAGTGGTGTAAACCATCGGACAGTAGCAAGCAAGTCAAGTAGCAAATCGCAGGTTCAAATCACAGAACACATATACTCTTAGGAGTTCCTCCTGGTTCAAATGCTCGCGGCGGCGAATAACTTAACGATAACGTCTATGCTATGTAGAATTGTAGAAGTTTTTTATAGTATAACATAGGGATGCTGCAAAAATATCGATATAGGTATTATTTTTTTTTATATATATCCATATTTTTGGCAGATATATTTCGACTAGTCTAACATCTTTACTTCTAATTTATGATTTAGGTTGCATCTAGTTGGAGATAGGTATGCCGAAAGTCGAAAAAAATATCGATATTTATAAAAATATCAATATCGGCCTCGATATATCGAGAAAAAAATCGATATATCGGTCATATTTTCAATAAAAAAATAATGTGTTTAATTCAGTGTGATTCAATAATAAATAATAGTAATTTTAATACCAAATTCACATTATTTAAATGGTTGAGAAATTTTGATAAAACGTTAATTATTTATTAATTTTAATGAAATTTCTTTATTAATCTAAATTTCACGGTATGTTATTTATCAAGACCTTCATTGGAAAAAAACAACAGCTTATTTAGTAATATAAATCAGTTTCTTTAGCAAAAAATAACTAATTAAAAATATGTAACTTAGTAAAAAAAAACATAAAGAATTGTTTTAAAATAAGTTAATAATGTTCAAAAAGAAACCCGCAGAGAATGTCTTAAAAGACAGGCCTAGATCAACAGAATTTAGTAATGAATGATTGACATGAAATTGCCGAACGACAATTTAAAGAAGTTATGTGGTTAAATAATAATAATTTTTATGACGTCAAATATTTTTTTATGAAAACTATATTATATTATATGACATTTAATTATTGAGAATTTAATTATAATTAATTTTTTTTTACTTTATACACATATCAAATTAAAGTTAGTTGATGGCATTACTATTTTGCTATTTATTAATGAGCTTAACATGTAGTTCAATATTAATAATTTGTGACACCTCTATACCATGCTGTACCTTATATATTGTTGTAGTCTAAAGTACGAAGCGAAGATGAAATTGTAGTATAAATACCATAATTATAATACAAAACAACTGCTACACTGCAGCCGTGACAATACTAGTCAAACCTAGTTTTTTTACGTTCATTTTTATCTTATACGGCTTTGAATCAGTTAATATTCAGCTGACTTAAATTTGAATAAAAACATCGTTTTTAATTGGATTTCGATATTCAATTTTTATATCGATATATCGGATCAAAAAATATCGATATATCAATATTTTTTCAGCATCCCTAGTTAGAGAACTAAAGATCAGTATTTCCAATTCTCGGAAATGTTTGTCCCTATAGCCTAAGTCAAAAACTAATATTAAAAAAATAGCGCCAAGATTATTGCCTAATTTTCAAATGAATGGTATAAATACAGTGAAATATATAGCAGCGAAAATGTTTGTCTTATAAAAAGTGTTTAAAGAAAAGTTATAGAGAGTTTAATTTTATAAAAAAACTAGCTGACCCGGCAAACACTGTTTCTCCATATAAATTAAAAAATGTTTGGGGTGGACCACCCTTATCACTTAGGGGTATAAAAAATAGATAATAGCCGTTTCTCAGACTTACTAAATATGCATATAAAATTTGGTAAAAATCAGTAAAGCCGTTTCGGAGGAGTAAGGTAACTAACATTGTGACAATTTTATATATTAGATATCTCTTTTTTACCTATATTTATACTTATATTCCAAAAATGAGATTCTTAATGAATGATAAAAATATTTATTTACTTTTGGCGCTGTCTTTAAAATTTATCCTACGCTACCGTTATTGAATGCGTTATGACGGTATTTTTTTTTTAATACACAGATTGTTCTCAACTCTACTCTCCATATTTCAACTCCCCATGCTTAGTAATGAGACACTGATGTGAAAGTGTAGTGATGTCGCTAAGCCGCTAGTAAAAAATATAGGCAGAAAAAAGCCTAAAATAACGCCCCTATAAAATCCGCGTTTGTTTACCCTCTAAATGGGGCAAACCCCTAAGTTTGCAACCCTGCCAATGTCAGATAGTGACAGGTCACCTCACCTGCTGTCACCACCTAATGTTGCCATTGTTAATAGTAAATTGTTATGTTAATACGCGATAACAATAAAAGTTGTAGTGTTGATTTATGGACCTCTTTTAGCTCGACGTCTAGGCTGTACGTTGGAAGACGTTGGAAGACACAGGATAAACATTATAGCTGTTGCACGACAAAGTTTATAAGGGTCAGGTTAGTAATACAAGGCCGCTAAAGGGGTAATACAGGGATAAGAAATAGTACGTATCAAAATGTGACCAAAAATTACTAAGAGTCCGATTAATTACTGAAGTCAACAATAGTAAATGAAGTACCTTATTAGGAACGAATTATTCAGCAGTTATATAAACGTTATGAAGTTATCATGATTAAAATGCATCTTTAAAATGCCAAGCTAATATCTCAAATACCTTATTTACTTTAGATATTTCATTAATTTTGTTATTACACTTTTACTGGCGTATTATTTACTAAGAATATTACATCTTACAATTAAAAATATTTTTAATTATGGTTAACGTGGTTTTTATTTTTTATTTTTTGTATAAAGACAAATAAATTGAACAATTTATTAAAACTCACTTTGAACCTCAATAAAAATACGATATTAGGCAAGAGGCGCGATGACTAGCAACAGACTGCAAAGCCTTGTCGCTCCACCATGCAGGCCAAGACGATATGAAAGGGGTGAGAATTTTCAGCACGGGGGACCGATTAAGTAGGAGGAGAACTTTGAAAGTTATCACACAATACTACAATTCAAATGTTTTAGTTAATAGTTGTTTACTTCTTTAATACCAATGGGAATATTATTAAAATATTTTTTCTGTATTTTCATGTTAAAAAGTGGGCATAAACTTTTTATATAGTTTTTTTAAATGCTTATCATGTTGAAAAATAAATATTGTCTTATAATTCCACTGACGTTTCTAGGCAACGGTTTTGTCATTTCTCTTTGTTAATTCAGAAGATAGGTCAAGTGTGCTTAAGCAGTCTATTAACAAATAATAAAAATGTCGGCAGTCCAAAAACTTTTTAAACACCATTGCATTGTGCCTGATGTAATTAATATTGGTCCCTCAGAGATATTAGATATACAATATCCAAGTGGTTTAAAAGTTGATATGGGAAAAGAATTGACTCCTAAACAAGTAAAAGACCAACCTTCGGTCAAATGGGCAGCTAAAGAAGGAGAATATTATACCTTAGCTATGGTTGATCCAGACGCTCCAAGTCGAGAACAATCCAAAATTTCGAGAATGGCATCATTGGTTGGTAGGCAACATATATGGGGGAGATCTCAATAAAAGTGAAGTACTTTCTGATTATATAGGTTCAGGCCCACCAAAAGGGACTGGATTACATCGATACATTTTTTTAGTATACAAACAAACCGACAAATGTGATTTTTCTAAGGTACCGAAGCTACCAAATAATTCCGGTGACAAAAGAGGAAAATTTTCTATTGCCAAATTTGCTCAACAATTTAATTTTGGTGTACCAGTTGCTGGCAATTTTTATTTTGCAAAATATGATGATTACGTCCCTAAATTATACGAACAATTAAAGGGATAAAATAATCTAAATAGGAAAAACCGATAAGTTATTTTAAAATTTTATTATCTGTGCAGAAAGTTGTAGAAACCGAGCTTGTCTATGGTTTCGATCAATAATTATTTCCGCCTCCGCGTGACAATCTCATTTTTTTTGGACAAGTCGCCATATAATCCGCCATTACATTTTAGAGTTTGCGTAAATTGGTCGTAGCACTGTCTGCGGGCATATCACATCTAGCATTTATTAGTGACAGTTATTTGGTGTTCGTGCGTCGTATCGCAGAGTTTTGTTTAAACAAAGAGAGCTACGTTTAATCGTATGTCCATCCAGAATCTCAACACATTCGACCCATTCGCCGATGCTATCAAAAGCTCGGAAGACGACGTACAAGATGGACTAGTCCACGTCCGGATCCAACAGCGAAACGGGCGCAAGACTCTGACCACGGTGCAAGGCCTGTCATCGGAATATGACCTGAAGAAGATCGTGCGGGCATGCAAGAAGGAGTTCGCGTGCAACGGAACCGTCGTGGAGCACCCGGAGTACGGCGAAGTGCTGCAACTGCAGGGCGACCAGCGAGAGAATATTTGCCAGTGGCTCACTAAATCGGGGCTGGTGAAACCGGAACAACTAAAAGTGCACGGCTTCTAAGTTCCCGCGTCACCGACACATAACATGTTCTATTCGTGACATCATCATAGTTCTATAGTATAATGATATTGTGCGCATTATAACCCTAAAGGAATATGTATTTAGAAAGCATCGACGTTTACAGAGATTATCGGACATGGCCCCATTGGCCTGCGCCTTGTGCCTTGCTGTCTCCCTAATGTAATATAAAGTGGATATTTTTGAATAAAACGCCGTCTCAACGTGTTAAGACAGCTTTAGTTGCAAATTTATGCCGAACGAAATAGTATAATCAGTTTTTGTTTTCATTTATATTACGACATAATTATAAATTGCTGTATTGAATATATTATGATGTCCCAATTAATAATAAACATGTTTTTGTAATGCGTCTTGTTCATTTGCATCACTGTCCACGTAACTTATTTGCTTACATTATAATATGTCTGCGCATTGTCAGTGTACAGTAATTCGTAAGCAAATATCCTTTTGCGTGTCAAAGCAGCAGGGAAGTATTATTGTGATAATCACGTCATTACACGCAAAGACATTTTCAACGAACATGAAGCGCAGAGGCATTAATAAAACGTAGGTAAGCATTTCTCTTCTTGGTTCTTTGCCCTGTTGGCAAAACGCAACTAACGGTAAGCTGGTGGGTAGGCATACGACGGTGAAAGTAGGCGGGCTCGTCAACAGGTAAATTCCTTGGCTTCATGAGTCACGCCATCAACATCGAACTAGTCGCGATATATGCTGACTCAGTTATGCTGCTTGATTCTTTGTTATTCATCATCATTATCATTTCCAGTCTGTTTGAGTCCACTGTTGAACATAGGCCTACTCCACAAACTGCCACGAAGCAGTTTTGTTAATAAAATAACTTAGTTTTAACTGAAAATATATTGAAGTTTATAAGACCAAACAATCAATCCTTCACTTAAGTCTCAACTAGAATTGGAAACATAAACATTTTAATTTATTAATGTTAAAATACCTAAAATTATATTTTTTTTTTCTTTTTGGTTAACGCTATTGAGGAACTTCTAAGCAAGGCACGAGCTAACATTGAATCGCGTGCAATGTTTTACACTTTTACAGTCTTATTGACAAACATACGTTCAGTATATATGTCTTATCCAATATACAAAAGTATAATATTTTTCCCTATATACAAAAGTACTCTGTGGTCTTATCTATGAACATACGCAAACTAATAATAACTCGCACCTATTCTGGATCAATACGTTTAAGTCCATAATACATTAAAGAGACTATTCTGGAAATCTCTTTTTAATATACTTCCTATATCTTGCTCCAATGCGGGTCTCTTATTGATTACATTGCAGGACATTTTAAAATTTTAATTAAATTAAATAACGTAAAAAATGGTATTGCCTTGCGTATGAACTCAAACAAGGAAGTGTCGTGCGTGTCTAATATGCTGCATTATAATGTATATGGCTAACCGTGACTCATGGCCCTGATTTGGTTGGCAATGATCGTAGCTCGTAGCTTAGCTGTGAGGTCAGCCGCTCTAATGACTAATGAAATTGCTAAGAAATAGGAGCAGAACTGCTTTTTTATACCTTTATATTATCTATAGTTATTTCCAATAAAAAAAAAAAAAAAGATTACTGCACTAAATACCGTACCCTGATTATGATTTTGATGAACTTTTTAAAACAATATGAAATACAGATGTAGGTATTTGGTATTTCTGGTGGCGTACTGGTGCAAATTATTCTGTTTAGTATTAATACCTGAAAAAAAGTGATAACAAAATTACGGACTCTTAAATTTAAATAATTTTTTTGCTGTACTACGTTAAATTAAATTCTTCGAATGCCGAAGCATTATACTAGATGAGCGGCGATCTGTATAAGGCGGTACTGCTAGATGCGTTTAGACTAAGGTAAGTGGAGAGCCATAAGAGAGGTTTATAACCACCAGTGATCTAATCACCAGCCCGCGGTAATTTTTGTTATTCATTGTTTAATTGTTTAATCTCAATAAAGATAATCCTTGTGGGTGATTTAAAATTTTCCTACTCGTGAGCCGGGATACCTCAGTGTCCGGGCGCTGCTCGCCTTTGATTCAATATACTCGAGCAACCTGAGTTCGATCCCCGGTGCCGGCACCAATGAAATTGTTAATTTTAAGTGCCGAATTGTCACGTGCTCAGCGGTGAAAGAAAACATCGTGAGGAAACCTGAATATTTTCGAAATAATAACAAAAAAAATATTTTAAAGATATGTGAAGTCCGCCAATCCACAGTGGGGCCGCGTGGTGGACTATGCCCTAATACCATCTGTACAGAGGAGGTTTTTGTCCAGCCGTGGGACATCTAGAGGCTGATACTTTACTTTACTAAGTATAAACAACTGATTACTTTGGGTGTATCTATTAAAGTCTATAACAGCCGTGGTACTTATTGTTTATATGTTGGAATATAACAATGGATGCGCCAACCAAAATGTAGATAAAAATACGTTAAGATTTTCGTCGGTATGGCAATCAGCCGTTTAGCTTATTGGCTAAAGCGTCAGTCCGCGAATGCCGAAGACGTGGGTTCGATTCCCACAGCGTCGACAATCTTTTCGTACTTTTTCTACAAATTTTAATGTTGATTCTTAAGTGTAGAGATTAGCACTATAAAAAATTTAAATGGGTTGTGATGTTCTAACTTTTGGATGCATATCCCTCTTTTAAATCGTCTCGATGATCTAATTAGGAAAACTGCGAAATTCTAAATTGCTGTTTAAATGATAGTTCCTGGATTCAGGCCACCCTCGCCATCAGACTCGCCAGATACTTAATGGTCATAGAAATAAAGAATACATTTATCTCAAGGAATAATTTGATATAAAAAGCCTCAGGTATTCGAGCGCGAATGTTATGAAATACCGCCACCGTCTGACGAGGCGGCACTAGGTCCAGCACCGGTCGGAACGGGCCTCTGGCGTACATACTCGGTCTGCGTACTGGTACGTTCATACTGGGTATTTATACCTGTTCCAGTATATACGCCTCATCTCTACTCGTTAGTAATATTATTATCCCATCAGTTGGTGAAGAGGTTACGTATTTCACTGAGGCCGAGGACGCTTGGCGTGCTAAAGTTGCGTTGGACCAAGATTTCCAAATCCAGCTTCGCAAAGGCTTTGGGACGAGCCGCTCTGCATACAAGTACAGGAAAAATTACTTGAAAACTTCGGAAGCTTTACAGAGCGGGCTCGTCTTCTGTCGAGTGTGGAGGGAGAGTCGGGCAACTGGTTGAATGCATTGCCTTCAGTACATGTAGGCACTCTGTCAGACAAGACTTCATTTTCTTTTGCAGTTAGCCTGAGACTTGGAGTAAAAATCAATGAGACATATCGCTGCCGTTGTGGTAAAGAGGTTGACCATCTGGGTCATCATGGCCTAGCGTGCCAGCGCAGCGCTGGTCGTATTCCTCGCCATGTTGCAATTAATGACGTCATTCGTCGGGCCTTAATAAGTGCTAGTGTACCTGCTGTCTAAAACGGCCAAACAGTATATTTCGTGACGATGGCAAAAGGCCTGATGGTGGCCACTTTGGTCTGGGATGTGACTTGTGTTTACACGTTAGCATATTTCGGGAACTCCTTGCAAAGCAAGCACTGCTACAGCGACGGCGGACTTAATGAAGCGCCGGATATATTTCGCCTTCCCGAAGGCACGGTGGTAGAGCCACGCAGCAGCCTCGGCTTTTGCATGACTGGGCAAGCTCGTCCGGGTAAGTGTCGTGGTACTCACAGAAGACCGGCGTAAAGTGGAAGTATGAAAAATACTTTCGCGTTTCGTCTGGTGAGTGAGGTAGCCGGAGCCCTATTTCCAAAAAGGTTGTCAACGCAAAGCTTAAAATATGTAGAAAAAGTGCGAAAAGATTGTCGCCGCTGTGGGAATCGAACTCACGTCTTCGGCACTCGCGGCCTGACGCTCTAGCCACTGAGCTAAACGGCTGATTGCCACACCGACGACAATCTTAACGCATTCTTCTACATTGTTTTCTTAGCATTTGAAGCAATGCTTGGTCAAGCCATTCATGAGTTATAAGCTTACCAACATTCATTTTTATTTATTAAGAAGATGATTTTCTACTTTTTAGTTCGATAATTACAGCGCATTTACAGGCTAACTCGAGTTCCGGGTTTATTGGTTAATCGTTTACCTAATTTAATTTTTGTAAGCGATCGTTCGACGATCAGTCGGATAAGTTATATCACGTAATTGATTAGCAACTCAGTAAAACCTATTCAAAGCGTTAAGGGATTAATAATCAGTCGTAGGCTACGCCGAAGTTCAAATCTCCATTTAAGGGCTCTTGGATCATGTCGTGGCGAAAGCGAATTGTCTTATCTTTCGACAGAGTTATTCTCCTGAGTCTACCGGTACGCCAGCTGTTAAAGCCATCAATGAAAAGTATATAATTATGTTTATGAATGTAGTATTAAAAACAAAAAATATATGTTTAGTGATACTTGTTTCGGCTAAAAAACTTGAAGGATGGCAGATAAAAAATTAGTCATTATTTTGACGTTTGCGGATTGATTTGACTTGACATTTAAGTTTTTCTTGGTACGAATATATAGTGTTTCTTTAGCTAAAATTCAATAATTTTCCCAAATAACAATCTAAGAAACGTATGTGGAAACGTCTAAGATAAAATGATTATTGTGCTGATCGCAGAGAAAGTGTCTGCTGTAATTAATTGTTGAAGTACAGAAATTTTACTAATAAGGTATTACCTTAGAAGTACACGATGTGAAAATTGCGGTATAATAAAATGAAATTACTTATTTGTAAGGACGATTTATTATGATTTGCAGAAAATCAATAGTTGTTTGCTCACTATGGGTGATAAAGCTTTGACTATGGGTCAGCGCGTGTTGGTAGTTGGGAAAGAAGTGAAAGGCTCCATAGCTTATGTCGGGTACCCTACGTTTGCATCTGGCAAATGGGTCGGCATCGTATTGGATGAACCGAAGGGGAGACACAATGGAACGCTTCGTGGACACGCTTATTTTCGAGTAAGTGTGTGTCTTCATAGCTATGAAACAGCTGTTTAAAGCAAGAAACAATTTAGCAGTCAGTATAGGATTTTCTTTTCTTAACTGAAACCAGACTGCTAAAACTTAAGTCCTACATAATATGATACTGATTAAGACAAAGTTTTACTTAAACTGGTGTTTATATCACACTTTTCAGAAGATTTATTACGATTGTATGATTTATTGGTATAACCAAGACTTGATTGTGTCAGCTTTTGGATCAGTTAAGTAGAGAAAGCTGAAAGCTGTTATTATTCCATTAGTATGCATGGTTATTAAACAAACTTCCATTTAATTATTTTGCTTAACCAACCTTTAAGGTATCATTTAATACTTTGAATCTTGGGAGATAGATGTTGGACAGTGTACTTTTAAAGTTGACCTGAAATATAATACATGGCGTAGATCATTAAATTGACTATAAAAACTTATAATTATTTATCTGGTGGGGTGACAGTGTTTCCTTTATTTCTAGCTTTGCCCATTTCGTAATAGAATAATATAAACAAAACTTAAGTTTTTTGTTGAGTGCATTTTTAAATGGGGTGTTTCTAGTTATTTATTACATTACAGCAATATATGTTTTCTACTAGAGGCCTCAAAACTCCAATGAGCAATGTATTCTAATATTAATCTAGTGCAAAGAATATTATTAAGTAAGAAAATAAATTGTAAAATGATATAATGAAGCTTTTTTTATGTATATTCTTCATTCAGAAATATGGTAGCTCAGTGTTTAGTGCTTAATTTCAATTTAGTATATTATAACGGCATCTCAAAAATCAATTCCTGGCATCTGAAAAATTGTTTATTGGAGTATAATTGGGTGATTTGCTATAAGCTTTGCTTATTATATGTAAGATATGTAGTGAGGCGGTCAAGATGTGTAAGAAAAATTAATATATTAAAAATGTTTGGGATATAAAAGTGAAAATTTATATGATGTCTGTCAATTGGCATTAGGTTGACCTCATATACTTGATTAAGCAAGGCCATTGTGCTGCGCATAGGGACATAATGTGCATAGGGATAAATTGTGCAGATGTAATGGCTCACATACGCCTTAGTAGTTAATTTTATTTATCGGTAACTCCAAGACGTCAACTAGTTACTTAAGCACATACCTAAATGTTTCAGTGCGAAGAAAACTATGGCCTCTTCGTACGACAATCACAGCTACAGCTGTTGGATGGGGACGACAATCCAATGGATACCTCCATGACAACCTCTACAGAGGAACCATCATTAGTAAAGTCATCCAGTAATAGGCGACTGAGCAGGTATGAAGCTATAATTATATTTAGTGCATTTTGTTTTTGCAGGTTAGCGGTGTTACATAGGTCGTATATGTCAATAGGTTTTTTTATAACGGTTCTCTTAATGTGAAAATCATAAATGTCTCTTTTTTGAATACACAGTTATTATTGAAAATTTAAAATTACCAAGATGCAAATGATGTTACTTTTACAACTTAAACACCATGTGCATTTGCAATGAATATTCTTATTTATAATGACGATTTTTGTAGATAAATGGGCAAAAATTTTCAGTCTGGCACTAAAATTGAAATGAATACTAACTTTCTTATTGTATAACTGGTACACACCTCTATTCTACTTAGTATGTAGTTAACATCTGACTGATAACGTCAGCAGACCTTAACAAATACCCTTATTTATGAATATTTCTAAACAAAAAAACAACTTCTTGACAAAAACACACTTATAATGGTGCCAGTTGTTTCAGAGCAAAAATATTTTCCAGTTAGTCAAAAAGGAATACAGTTATGAACTCATGTCAAAAAATGTGAGAGGTTTCGTATTTGTAATAAATTCCATTGCATGACTAATAAGGGACCTTAGGGGGTTGTCTTGATACAAAATTTTTGAGATACTACTTACTTGGATCTTGGTGTCAGACACTAAAAGACGCCACTGCTCTCTATTCTGGACTGTAAAAAAGAAGTAAGGATAAATAAATAAATACCAAAAGGAAAGCATCTGGAAATATGAAGTCTACATTTTTGACATAATTATTTATATGTTTTAAGAAACAATAAGTTAAATAACCTAACCATAGTTTTATATAATATATAACTTATTTTCTAAAACAGTGTTTACTTTATTACTCTTTAAATTTTTTCAGTAATAATTTTTTAACAACTTAAAACAAAATTAGTTGCAGCCTATAGCTAATAATAATGCAATTTAACAAATAATATTTTTTAGAGGATAATCACCTTAAAATTATTAATCTTTCATTACATTGTCTACAAAATAGCATCTTATATTAAAATTAGTCCACACCCTCAAACGGTAACACCAAGTCCAGATCACTTCCATGAAAGGATCAAACGGATCCTGAGGATACTGAGTATAGGATGCGAGTAACATTCTTATTCTTAGTGTTGCTAGCAGTGGACTGTTTGTAAGTGCTAGGTTTAAGATAACTGCTAGAAATTAAAAATATTTATGTTTATTTTTAGTCCGATATATGAACTTGTGTCAGTAATTACAAATAATATATTTATTGACGAATGTTTCTTCATTGTGCTATTCTTTGCAGTCTTTCTAAAAAAGAAATTGCATTTTTATTTTCTTGTTAATTTATCTTGAGCATATCTTTTTAGACTTAGCAGTGATGTTGTTAGTTCTATACATAGACAAAAAAATTAATGTTATTTACATAAAAAAATTCTAGATTATAAATAGAACAATTAAATTGGGCATTATTATTATTTTTTTAAAACAATAACAGCTATGTGATATTTGATATTGAACAGTTTGATATGCAATTTTCAAGTTTTGTGTAAGCATATAAGGGTTTTCCTTTTAAGATAAGTTAACAAAATTAGATATTTAATAGTTATGCATAAATTTTAATTCCTCACTATCATAAAAATAAACCAAGTCATGTTAAGATTGTCAGTTTTGTAAAAAGATAACTTTTAGTACATCATCTTAAATTAAAATGCTTACATAATACTTGTGATGTATACATAATTTTAAAAGGTCATTCATTTTTTAATACTGTTCATCAGTCTTTTTGTCTTTTAATATGGAGATTGGAAAAAGACAGTTCGATGTTTATTTTCAATATTTTTTATTATTACCGAGTGTTGTCTTCTTCATTTCTCCGTATTGCCATCATGCCATAATCTAGTGATTGATAGTGTGTTTTTTTCTGGCTAGTATAACAGTGGCCCAGAGGTCTAGACCGACCACGTGAGTACTAGCAACACCATGTAGACAGCACACGCTTAGCTTGAGCGCACAAAAGGCTTCTCATAGTTTATGTTGTCCTGATGTTAGTTTGAGAGACAAATTTAAGTTCTTGATTTATATTAGGTAATAAAATTAAACATAAATGTAATATTTCTATATCTTAATAAGTAACTGTTCAAGAGATTAAATACTAAAACTAAACTATTAAATACTTCTTGTGAAGATGTTTTAAACATTTTGAGTCAGTCTGAGATCTTTTCCTCAAACTGATTTCTGTATAATATACAAAACAGTTTTGTACATCATAACAATTAATTCTTTTTCCCACTATATTTTCGTTACTTGCATAAAGTTTTGTAACCCATAAAATGTCTAAATTTATAGACAGACTATATGTTGTAAAAAAATTACAAGTATATTTGCTATTATTTTTGCAACAAAAATTAATCTTTCGTATTCAATTCCTTAGGGTATTCATTTTCTCCTAAAAGAAACTCATTAAATTTTGTGCCTCAAACTAACAATAAATGTTTAGCTTCTTTTTACGTCTGTGTATCATTTATGTTCTGACTTTATTTATTTAATAACTAAAAATTTACATGAAGTGCTTTGTTACGTATTTTTCTCGTTTACATTTAAATGGCTATGATTAGCAAATATTTTCTATACTATGTTAAATGCATTAAGTGTACACACTTCCTCCACATTCAGAAGCGATGTTATTGTAATTTGCGAATTATTTTCGAATTCCTGATATGTTGTATATATAGTTTTAATTTTTTTTTATATGCGAGAAGGTGGCAAACGAGTTGACAATTCATCTCATGTTTAGTATTAATTGCCGTCCATAGACATCTGCAACGCCCGTGGGTAGAAGATGCATTGGCACCTTTAAAAAAAGTGAGCCCTGGCTACCTCAATCACTAGACGAAACGCAGAAGTATAATACTTCCACTTCATGCCAGTCTTCTGTGAGGCTGTGGTACTTCCCTTCACAAGCCTGCCCATTTCTGCAACAGCAAAGACTGCTGCATGACCTTACCACTAACCTGTGACTGGGCTAGTTATTTCCATGAAATTGTTAATAAGCTTTGATTTATCTACTAAAAGTGGAAGGAAATTTAATAATTGTATTACACCATGAGAAGAAACAGTAGGGAGAAAGAAAAGATATAAGCAAATGAATAAATAAATATATATATATATAAGGACACATTTTTACACAACATTCTCTGGACTAAGCTAAGCAAGGCTTGTGGGTATGAGATAACTGATAAATGTATATAAAAATACTTTTCTTTTGCAAATAAATATATATACATACATAGACACCCAGACACTGGAAAAACTATGTTCATCCCACATTTTTACAGTAGTGAGGATTGAACCCACACCTGGTGGAAGAGGCAGGTTCACTACCCACTACACCAATTGGGTCATGTGAAATAATGTTTTCAAAATATCACTTGTGTTGTAGATCATAATTTGCATATTTTATGACTTGCTTGCCTTACTGTCTTGCTTATTACCTTGAACATTATTTAAAATTTTCCTCCCTTTTTTTCAACATACTTTTAATTTTTTTTTGTTCCCTACTTATTTCAAAATATGTTTTTATGAACGTTTAAAGCTTTTGCAAAAATATGTCAAATAATGCAGTATTACCTATATATTATATACACAAAGAAAAATAAACTGTATATAATGTGATTATTATTTATTATATTACACTATATTATATAGCATCGCTTTCTATAGTGGGGTGAGTGCTGCATTTTTAATTATAGTTTCACATTTATTAAGACTTTAGATATGGAGTACCCTGATGACAAAAAGTGCCCCATATATAATGATACTGACCTGCAGTGTTATAAGAGCCTGAAATACTATATATTTATTAAAAATATTAAATCCTAGGGGTCAATGGATGCTAAGGATTCATGTCCCTGGAACAATTTGTTTGATTTTGAATCGACCATGTTTTATCTGTTAGGGCTCACTATTGTACGTCATTATATTTTTAATAACCCATCAATCACATTGAATGACAGTTTTGATACTAGAATTGTTTTTAAACTCTACTTGTTAAAATTGTATCGAGCTAAAACTTAAATGTGCAAGAATATTGTGAATGATGTACAGATCAGGGCCTCATTATACCAAATGTTTGCTCCAACATTGGTCGATTGATGACATAGTTGAATGCGGTTATTGTGAATAATGGAATTGAGGGGGCTTTTGTATGTCACACTTTCACTCCTACGTTGGTGGACGATGATGACATATTTGTTCAAATACTAACAAATGTTGGTGAATGCGCTGTCAAGGGTGCGGCGGAAGGCGTCACCGGCGCAGACGAAAGCCGGCAACTTGTCTATGTCGAGGTAATGACCGCTGTAACAAAGTATAGTAGTGCACTATGATCTTAGTAAAGCTATTACATCATAGCACCGTTATGACGTCTGCACATTTATGACGTCATCGCCTTTATGACGTCAGCACAGCAGTAGTCCAAGTCAAGTTTAGTTCACGATGCACCGACTTGTCGTTTCCTATTTTACCACGTTTTTATTTACTGATTTATCTCCCTCTCTGTTTCTGAGCTAGGCACTTCATACTTTATAGATAGCTCAGAATTGAATGGGTCTGCAAAAATTTCCAGCCTGTGTAATCTGCTCAGGAAAATTAGGGTTCAGCACCCAACCCTACAGCCGTTATGTTATTGTAGAGTTTAGTGTCTTTAAAAACGTGGTATATAAATTTCCTAACAGTTGCCTAGGCTTACATCTTTTTGGTGATATATTGTATGATACTTTTATGTTGTTTATTGTCTTGTATATGATGTTGCTATGCTTTGAGTCTTTTCTTCTATTATATGTTAGTAAAAATACTATCACATATATTGAGTAAATAAGTTAGTTGAGATATGCTACCTCTTTGGGAGTGATTTGCTGCTGTAAAAAGAAAAGTCAATACCATTTTTATTTCTTAAATGTCATAAAAACTGTCCGTTTGCCTTTTGAATAAATACATTTAACTAATAATTCTTTGATATTTATGTAGAGTTCCTTTTTATAATTAATTTGTTTAATTTATAATAAAAGTATTAAGAACAAGGAAGTCAATTTCTAGAAATGTGTAAACATGATAAGAAATTAATAGTTTTAAATATCTTAGTTATGGAGGTTTTATTTACAAAAATAATCATTGTGTTGTTTGATGAAAAACATAATTATATTTAATTGTAATCTTTTAGATTTGTTTCAGTCTTATAGAGTCAAATGTAGTATAAACTAATATTAATAAACTAACCCCATTACAGTTTTGTAATAATTAACATGCACATGTTTATGGTATTTTTACAGATTAACGGCCGGTTTCAAATATTCTATCCACAGATAGATCTCATGTACAATACTCTGTACCATTTACGTTTGTTCAGATAAGTAGCGTTCTTTATAAACGACTTAATAACTATTGTATAATTTTTGTCTATGAAAACACTGGCAACAGTATGTTAGAATAAGAACAGACAAGATCGCCCTGACAAGTCTTAAATAATTGTAAAATTCTATATTAAAATAATTTCTTAGAACTTTTTATTTCCAAAACTGGATTTATTTCGACCCTAATACACCAGTAACCAAATCTATCCGTAGATAGGATATTGAAACCGGACATGCTTTTAAAAGTCAATGCATGTCTGTTCATACAAATTTAACATACATTTCATAAAACGGGGTATAGAAACGGATTTTAATTCCTCCTGTCATATAACCTTGTGTTGTATTTTTTATTTACTAATCTGAACGCTTAGTTAAGTGCCTTTGAAAAGGTTTGCGCGATGTTGGCAGCGTACGATCTTGTATTTTAACTAGACGGTTTGAGTCTCAAATAATCGCAGTTTACGCCATCGTATTTAACTGTTTGATTTGAGATTATGTTTGGTAGTAGATCGTTTGTAGGCAACATACGCAGACACTATGATATGTGAAGTGTAGTATAGCCTGTATATAATTTTTTTTATGTGAGAAGTTGCCAAACGAGCAGACGGTTCACCTGATGTTAAGTGAATACCGCCGCCCATTGACATCTGTTACACCCTAGGGTTCCAGGTGTGTTGACAGCCTTTTGAAAATTGGGCTCCGGCCACCTCACTCACCAGACGAAACGTGAAAGTGTTATACTTCCACTTTACGCCGGTCTTCTGTGAGGTTGTGGTATTTACCCGGACGAGGCTGCCCATTCGCGCAACAGCCGAGGCTGCTGCGTGGCCCTACCACCGTTAAATATGTATGTATCGATTGGTAGACTTCACATATCTTGGAAATGTTTTTTCTCTTACTATTATCTCGGAAATAGTCTGAGCAAGTAATAGGTCGGCATTTAAAATTGCAACCAATAATTTCATTGGTGCCGGCACCGCGATTTGAAGCGAGCGCCCGGACACTGGGCTATCACGGCTCTGCACATAAATCGGCGCACGCAAATCTTTGAATGCATTTTTACCAATGTTCTCTTCTTCTATCTCTCCTAGAGGTAGGCATTTTATAAAAGAAGGTATTTTAAAGGAGACATGTTCTTCCGGATTATATGCGAATGCAATTATGCATACACCAAATTCAATAATAATTAGGGTGCTCATCATTTCCAAAAAATCATGTTTAGTCTCTAATGTATACCAAGCCATGAATTCAATAGGTATGTAAACGATAAAAGATTTAAAATTACGCTTATGACCGTAATTACTTTATGGCCTGGGTGACATAGTCCATAGACCCATTTAAAAGAACCTTTCTGCTTTCTGAAAAAAAAAATGGACAATGGCCTTGCCATGTTAGATTCTTCTATTCCGCTAGAGCTATATTTTCTATCAGTCCCTTGTAATACCGACTCTTAATATTGAACTATCAACAGTAAGTAACAGTGACAGCCCATATTTAAATTTTCCTTCACTCAAAATTGTAATATACAGTTTCTTTGGTGCCGGCACCGCGATACGAACTGTGAGCGAGCGCCGGACACTGGGCTATCACGGCTCTGCACATAAATCGGCGCACGCAAATCTTTGAATGCACTTTTACCAATGTTCTCTTCTTCTATCTCTCCTAGAGGTAGGCATCTTATAAAAGAGGTATTTTAAAGGAGACATGTTCTTCCGGATTATATGCGAATGCAATTATGCATACACCAAATTCAATAATAATTAGGGTGCTCATCATTTCCAAAAAATCATGTTTAGTCTCTAATGTATACCAAGCCATGAATTCAATAGGTATGTAGATTTAAAATTACGCTTATGACCGTAATTACTTTATGGCCTGGGTGACATAGTCCATAGACCCATTTAAAAGAACCTTTCTGCTTTCTGAAAAAAAAATGGACAATGGCCTTGCCATGTTAGATTCTTCTATTCCGCTAGAGCTATATTTTCTATCAGTCCCTTGTAATACCGACTCTTAATATTGAACTATCAACAGTAAGTAACAGTGACAGCCCATATTTAAATTTTCCTTCACTCAAAATTGTAATATACAGTTTCTTTGGTGCCGGCACCGCGATACGAACTGTGGTTGCTTTGGTGTATTAAAATAAGACCGTGCACTCGGCTCTCACGGATCTTGATGTTGGACAATCGCCGCTGTTCATTTGTATCCTGACTCGTGCCCGGCCCTCCATCAGTTCCAGGACCTCGCTCGCCAGCAGCCGCCAGTCGCTCACGTCGTACACGTCGCCGACGACGGAGCGCGCGACCTCGCCGGACCTGACTAAGAGGGCCTCCTTCATCGAGGTATTACTCGCTTAGTGGCTCGTAATGACCTGGTACACGACCGTAACTAGATTTTGCTATTGGGATGTTCGCGTTAAAAAAATAGAACCACAAGAACTTACCTAAAGAGACGGTAATATTGAAAGAATTGGGTGCCTTGCAAAGAAATAAGACTAATGCCCGTTTTCACCATCGATCCCTCATTGCTATTCTGTTTTTTAGTATTTGTTGTAACAACGACAACAGAAATACATCATCTGCGAAAATTTCAACTGACTATCACGGTTCATGCGATACAGCCTGGCGACAGATAGGCAGACAGATAGACAGTGAAGATTAATAATAGGTTACCCTTAGCGTACGGAACCTTAAAAATGACGCCTGTTTACTGTTGGCCCATGTCTTTGAAATACGGGTTGGAAAGAATTTCGTGTGTTTAATATTAAACTCGTTTGTCCTCAATTGGGGACACGGATGTGTGAAATGACTCTTGCTCTGCACTTGCATGTCCCCGACTGCTGCTGATTTTGTACCTAACTAATTTTGTATATATCATTAAAATAGGAAAGATAGCAACAGCGCATTGTTTCTTGCCGGATCTCCTCTGGATAAGTGTAATTTACTGGACCGGTGGTAGTTTCTTGATGTTCAATAACAGCTTAAAACAAGCCTTCATCATCATCCTCCTGACCTTATCCCACAAAGGTGGGGTTGACACAACAACATGTCATTCTCGGTTTTGGCTATATTTTTTTTCGACCTGCCGTCTGCCTGTCGTCAACCCTCGTTGGGAAACAAACACCCAGATCTGGAACAATTGTCCGTGGTTCATACAAACACTTGACATCATCATCATTTCAGCCCGTTTGAGTCCACTGCTGAATACAGGCCTCCCCCACAGACTGTCACGAAGCATGATCCTGAGCCAACTGCATCCATCGACTTCCCGCACACTTGCACTATATCGACTCGGTGGTGGGTTTGCTCAGCCATTGGCTTCCGCGCCAGCGTCGCGGGTTCGATTCCCAGACGTGATCATTATTTGTAGGATAATTGTTTTGAATATTTTTTGAAGTTATAATTCTTATATATATAGGCGCGTTATGAAAAGTGATGAGAGTGAAATTTTAAGATTTAACACAAAAGTCACACCTTTGAAGCAGTTCTCAATAAAGAATGTAGATGGTGCTTTCATGCTGAGCCACCTGCATCAATAGAATTCCCGCACATTTGCACAGGTCGTCAGCGTCACTCCATCTAGTGGGGGTCGTTCCGTGTGGGAATCGAACCCACGACCCCCGACGCCGAAGCCAATAGCTTGGCAATGGCGCCACCGCATCATCCGTCCGAGTGTGAATAAGAGAAGAAGAGAGCCGATATCGAATAAAGAAATTTCGGTTTGGAGCATGAAACTCTAATCCTTCGCTTTCCATTGCAGACCGGTTTCGTGGAGACCCTGACCCCTCAGTACACCCCTGGGCAGAGCCTCACTTCGCCGCAGCCCGTCGCCACCTCCGCCGAGGACAAGCTGGCCAATTTGCAAGCGCAGCAGGAGGTATCTATCCAGGGATGACGCGTACGCTTGGAACTCAGTTCGCGAAGCATGCACCGATAGGAGTATTACAATTGAGTAATATATCAGGGCACATTATTGAACAACGTCATCTTAGCGGTTCACCTGATGTGATAACCGCCGCACATGGACATTTGCAACACCCATAGGGTTGCAGACGCGTTGCCACCTTTTGATAAAGTCGGCACCAGGTTCCTCATTTATCTAACGAAACGCAGACATATAACACTTCCCACTTCTCATAATTTTTCTATGAGGTTTTGGTACTCTCCCGGACGGACATTCGTGCAACAGTATGTGTTAACTTTGTATAACCAGTCACCGATTTATGAATTAACAAAAAAAAAAAGGCAAATGCTTTAATTTTTTTTATAAATTGGGAAGAGTGTGAAATATTCCTTTCTGTAATGTGTTCGTGTATTTTTTGTACCTGACCTAGCCTTTTTATATCGGACCTGGCACAGACCACACTTATTTTTATTAGGACGCTACTAACGCATGTTCCTGATATATTGTTTCCTTACACTTTTGCTTCATCACTATACATCAGCTGAAGGAAACAACTTCCCTATCCTAAGCTTCTCTCTGAGACCAAATCCATGAACTTTTCGAAACGAAGCTGTCAACATTTTTGGGATCCAGTGTATAAGTTTAAAATTTGACCCTTTTTATTGACTCAAGAAAAAAATGAATAGAACGTTAACCCATATCTCCCATTATCCACACTTTTTAAAATATCTAAGTGAATGATGTGAAGTGATGAATGATATTTTTCAATCGAAATCAAAAATGGAGGAGGTTGTCAATTCGACCTAATTTTTTTTATGTTTGTTACCTCAGAACTTTCGATTGAGTGAACGGATTTCGATGATTCTTTTTGTATTTGAAAGCTGGTGTTTATCATGTGGTCCCATATTAGTTTCATTTGAATTGCATCTTGGGCTCCGGAGACGTAGGGAAATCCTGAAAATCAATTATAAAATGAATATAGATCCAGATATTAGAAGACTGTTTTGTTTTTCGTTAGTAAAAAAAAAATGGTGAATTTTTCGAGAGACTAAACATTTCTTTGAACCGAAGTTACTTGGCATTCCAATCACTCAATCCGTCGAGAGCGCGAAGACTGATCATATCCAACGCCTCCAGATCACGAACCTCAAGGCCGAGGTGGAGGACCTCAAGGAGAAGCTGGAGACCCTGAAGGTCCGCCGCTCCGAGGACCGGGAGAAGATCCGCGAGCTCGAGCGGCTCCGGCTCCAGCTGGACCAGGCGAACGAGTTCAAGACGAGGATAATGGAGTCGCAAGCGCAGCTGCAGAGGGACCTGCAGCGGGCCAAACAGGAGGTGATGAGATGCACGAAATAAATTAAAAAAAATGTTTATGTATCAGCCTATGCTGCTGCGCAAAAGCCTCCTCTGTACAGAAGTACTTTTTAAAATATATCGTGGCAATAGTATATTGTCTAATCGAAAAGTGTGGCACCTCGTGAGATTCTTTATTTTATGTGAGATAGTGGCGAACGAGCTAGCGGTTCACCCGATGTTAAGTGATAACCGCCGCCCATGGACATTTGCAACGCCCGTAGGGTTGTAAATGCGTAGCCACCTTTTTTTTATGTGAAAAGTTGCCAAACAAGCAGACGGTTCACCTGATGTTAAGTGAATACCGCCGCCCGTGGACATCTGCTGGTACACCCGAGAGTTACAGATGCGTTGTCAACCTTTTAAAAATTGGGCCCCGGCTGCCCCACTCACCAGACGAAACGCAGAAGTGTAACACTTCTACTTTACGCCGGTCTTCTGTGAGATCGTGGTACTTACCCGGACGGATCTGCCCATACGTGCAACAGTGAACACTGTTGCGTGGCCCTACCACAGTTACCACGCGACCTCACTGCGGTTTGACGGACTTCACATATCTTCTAAATATTTTTTCTTATTTTGAGAGATATTATTTGGAGCCTGGAGAGCTAACGCCTCTGTCATCGCAAGTGCCCTGAATGGTATTTTTTTATGTAAAAAGTTGCCAAGAGAGCAGGCGGTTCACCTAATGTTGAGTGAATACCGACGCCCATGGACATCTGCTACACCGAGGGTTCCAGATGCGTTGACAACGTTTTGAAAATTGGGCTCCGGCTACCTCACTCACTATATATATTCTTTATATATACTCGTATTATACTTCCACTTCACGCTAGTCCTCTGTGTCGTGGTACTTACGGAAGAGCCTGCCCATTCGTGCAACAGGCGAGGCTGCTTCGTGGCCCTACCACAAATATATGGTATAAACATTAGTATTCTGGGACACATTCTCACGCTCGTGGGACCTGGCTACTTCATGCATTCTGTGTTCGATGATACTTTAATAGTCTTCGGACGGAACAAAGGCAACACATCAGTTAATGTAAAATAATAATATACTTTACACAACATTATCTGATCTATGGTAACATACATAAGTATACTGTTCTTTTCTAAATATAATATAAAATACATATTACAAACACAGAGACACTAGAAAAACACTTGTAAAGCATGTTAACAATGTAACAAAACTTGTAAGTTAAATAGCAATCTTGTGCCAATTACTATAATTGTTCAATTATAAGTAGGCGCTTAAATAATTATATGCATTTGATGGTAGGTTCAAATTAATTGTGTCACAAAAGAAATAAACGTTGATCAAGTGTGGACGCTCTGTTATTTTAACTGTTCCTGATTACTTATAGTGATACATACCAACACTATGTTCATCGCACGATATATTTTTAATAATGGTTATCGAAGCCCTCAGTTGCGAGAGACAGGTTCACTTTCCAATAGACTCATTGCAACGGTCACTCCCCCAAAAGGGTCAGCTTACTTTACTCCAAATAGCCCGGGCAGGGTCAAATCAGCTGACCTGCCTCTTGGGCTCATCTTCCAGGTGCGTGAGGCGCAAGAGGCGCTAGAGGTGCATAACGACGAGACGGCCGAGCTGCAGGAGGCGGCCGAAATGGCCGCCCTCGACAAGGAGATGGCCGAGGAGAGGGCCGAGGCGCTGCAGATGGAGCTGGAGCAGTGCCGCGACAAGCTGGAGGAGGCAACGCTCGACCTGCAGCTGATGCGCGCCGAGATGGAGGCCGGCGGGAACATACGTGAGTTCTCCCCCCCTCTCTCTCTCCCCCTTTCTTCCCCCCCCCCCTCTCTATCTATCTCTCTCTCTCTCTCTCTCTCTCTCTCTCTCTCTCTCTCTCTCTCTCTCTCTCTTTGCCGTGATAGCTCGTTGTCCGGGCGCTCGCTTTTAAACTCGAGCGACCAGAGTTCACTACTCTGTCGTGGTACGATGATCTCCTTACCTGTGATTTGTAATGGTTCAAGTAGTGAATTTCATTTAAAATTGCAATTAATCTAACGAGATATCTAGTGAAAGCACTAGTGATAAAAAACCAAAACCACTTCATAAATCAACAAAAGCTTTTCTATATATGTAGTGCATATATATAAAATAAAACACATAGCAATGGCCAGAATTACTACAGAAATATCTTCTATTATCTATAATGCTTGAACTAAATTGTACTTATCTAATAACCTCAAAAACAATTTACTTTATATTAAATAATCGAACACACCTTATATATAATTAATTATTAAGCAGCTGTCCACAGATATTTATTAACTATTATATTTTTTTCGAAAAACAAAAATGTTTAATTTAACAGAGACAGCACACACTAGTTTCACGCAACGCTTTTCTCCTCAAACATAGGGAAGTTTACGTGTTGACTTTGTTTTATCGGTTTTTTCGGTTTTTTAATCTGTTTATATATTATATTATAAGTTCTAATAACAATATTTTCCTAATTATTCGCTCCTATTCTATTCTTAATATAAAGTTGAAATATATATGTATTTTTATTTTTTATCTTTTAATGAATATTATTGTTAGATATATAGTTATGTTTATTTATATATTTATTTCCTTTTAGACCCATATAGTCAACTATTGAATGTACGTAAAGTTTATTTTCTAACATAATTTTTCGTTGCATTTCATTTAGATTTCATTAAATACTTTTTCTCATTATAGGGCCATATATTTTATGTAATTAACTGTGTTGTTATTTATTTTTTTGTTGTGTTATTGACTTAATATTATTTTTTCGTGTTTAATTTTGCATGATTTGTTTTTGTTTCCCTCCCCTGTCTCCCTAGACGAATGACTTGACCTATTTATTGCCTTCACTCTGACTTTATTGTCTGCTTCGATTAGATTTTAGCTCGGCAATATAATTTTTATTATTTACATCAACTTGTCTGTCGCTTTATTTGGTTTTACACAATCAATTTATTTCCTATTCAAATTCAAATATCTTTATTTAATATTGAAGCATTACATTTACTTATTGATTGTCAAAAAACACAAAACCTTTTTTAATTTACTGTGATAAGCAAAACCTCGCTCATTAGAATTGCAAGAAATAACTTCACTTAAATTGTAACCTATTCCTTTCTCCTCTTAAGAAAAGAGACAGACAATATAAAAGAAAGAGGTAGACAATAAAAAGTTTATATAGCAGATAGAGACCGACAATACGATAGAGGCTAAAATAGAAAGGGTCAGACGATGTGGGAGACAGTGCATGTTCAAAACGCCCGACAGCCGCGGACGTTTGTGATATCCCTACGAAAATTGACAAGAGGCGTTCGTGACCGTTTCTTATTTTTTAAACTGAAGTAGAGACTGTATATTTAAATTCTATAACTAATAACTGCCCTTTATAATTGAAGTATCATTCAATAGATAGCCGATTTGATTGGAATAAAAATTGTGCAAAGTCAAAAGAAGAAGCTCAGTTTACATCAGTTTTTTAAAAGATTCTCAACTTTCAAATAGTTTTTCTACTTATCCGCGACCTCAGTTTAAACATGGTGCGTCTGCTGCAATGTCCGTTGTATCCCTCCTCCTGCGCCTACGAAGATCTGCTTGGAGCAAATTCTGCTGCGGTAGATGTGGCCGAATACTGGTCGAACGAGATCTAAATAGCAATTTTGACTCGAAAAGAAGATGTGGAAGCCTTAACAGAGCCCAAATTCCCTTGTTATGCGTTCACATTTTCCCATGTACATTCAAATTTCGAACTCAACCGATCGCGCGCGCATCGAAGCGTCCTTTCAAATGCGCTTCACGTTCATCACCAGCGTCCGCGTACGGATGTGACATTGAGAGAAAAATATCGATTAATTATCGATCGATCGATTAATATAGAAAAGAGAATAAGTAGAAAAGAAGAATAAATAGAAAATAAACGATTATATCTATTATTTTATATCGATTATTTTATATTATTCTAAGAATGCTGTATGGCAAAAAAACTAAGAGATTAGTATAGTGTTCACAGTTAATCAGAATCAAAATCAAGTAAAATGAGTGGTATAAAAAATTACCTAAACGACAACCTTCTGGTTTCATAACAAAAATACAAAGTAACTGTTTTTTAAACTAAACAATAAAAAAAGATCTTAAATAAATTTGCCCAAATATTTAATGCCATTTAATATTTTATTTGAATCAAATTTGTTAAAAAGTTACCAAACTGGTTTACATACAGGGTGGTGCCCAAATTTACACAAGAGTTTTGTTTTTATTTCTATAATCGTTTATTGAAATAAAAACAAACTTTTTTTTCCAAAAAAAAATCCATTCTATTCCCTAAAAACAGAACTTGTTGACAATGCGTAAGTCATCCATAAACGCGTCGTATACTTTTGAAACGAACTTGTGTGCGTGTTAGTTATGAATGATCGCGCGTAAAATAAATGAATTGCCCATAAATCACGCACTTGATGACTCCGTGGCGCAGTTGCCAAGGACTTGGCTTCGGCGTTGGGGATCGTGGGTTCGATTTCCACACGGGACAACTATTTGTGTGACCCACAGATAGTTGTTTCGCATCTGGGTGTTTGTCAGCGTGAAATTTATGTTTGTAAAACGTCCTTAAAACACAGGATAATATTATCCTCAAGTAAGGGAAATGTTTAAAAAAAAAAAAACAAAAAAAACTTTTTGAGATAAGTTCAAATGAATGTAATTAATTGATTACGTCCGCGCGTCGCGAATGCCCGCGCGTCGCGAAAGCCCGCGCGTCATGAATGCTAACGCGTCACGAACGCCGTCGCGTCACGATCGTCCGCGCGTCACGAACGCCCTTGCGTCACGAGCGTCCGTGCGTCACGAATATCCGCGTGTCACGATCGCCCTTGCGTCACGAGCGTCCGCGTGTCACGTCACGCGTGACCAAACGTCCGCGGCGCGCCGTCGCGGCGTTGCGTGTGTAACGCGTGCGTGCGTGCCTCTGACCAGAGCACCCGTACGCAGCGGCCGACGGCGCCGCCACCGGCTACGAGATGCGCGCGCTGCAGCAGCAGAACGTGCGCCTGAGGGACACGCTGGTGCGGCTACGGGACCTCTCCGCGCACGACAAGCACGCCATGCAGAAGATGCTCAAGGTCCGTGGGCGCCGTGTTCTATGACCCCGGCGACCTTGAGCGTGTCACGCTCTGCTGTTGCGAAGCTCAAGGTCAACTTGATTGGTTAAATGTTCGGCTAACTCGGCGGAACATCATCGGGGTATGGTTCGTAGAGAGTTTTCGGTGTAGCCGAAAATAGAGATGATGTTGGGGCATTTCAGCGGATTTGAGCACAAAAAGTGAGTAGAAGTGTTTGTGCACAGTTTGGCACGTTATCGTTATTCTTGTGGTAATTCTCTTTTTTGATTATCGTTTGAAAACGATATTTGAAATTGTTTGTCTGCTGTAAAGGTGTAAAGAATAGATGCGGCCAAGCATTGCTTGAATTGTGAAAAAATAATCTAGATAAAATGCGTCGAGATGTTCGACGGTGCAATCAGCCGTTTAGCTCAGTGATTGAAGTGTCTGGGCGCGAATCCGCAAGACGTGGGTTCGATTCCGGCGGCGGCGAATATCTTTTGCGTCAAACTCATATACAAATTTTAATTTACCAAACATTCCATCCCAACAATTATTTCAGCATGGACAGGATCTGGACGACACGGTGCCGCCGTTGCTAAGCTATGGGCTTCGGCGTCGGGGGCTGTGGGTTCGATTCCCATAAAGAACAAGTATCTGTGCGACCCTTAGATAATTGTTCCGGATCTGGGTGTTTGTTTCCGAAGGGGCAGGCAGGTCGTAAATATTATAGTCAAAATCGCTGACAGCATGATTCATATATTGTACCGACCCCACCTAGGTGACATAGGGCAAGCGGATGAAAATGAGTTTTTAGATGCGGGAACTGTCTAGATCTAACGATACCTGTCCAGGATTTGGAGCAGTACAAGTCGGAGATAGCCGAGCTGGGCCGCACTAAGGAGAAGCTCTCTGCGAGGGTCGAGGAGTTGGAGGCGCAGGTCGCGGATCTGCGCGAGCAGGTGGACGCCGCGCTCGGAGCCGAGGAGATGGTCGAGCAGCTGGCCGAGAAGAAGATGGCCCTCGAAGACCAGGTCGGTGCTGAACCGTCTCGCAGTAGACGGAGGAATAGCCGTTCGTACCTTTGCGCTTTGTCTAGGAAGAGAGTACATTTATTTGTTTACTAGCTACCCGCCCCGGCTTTGCACGGGTAGCACTAATTATCCATGAAGAAACATTCTGTTGGTCCCATCCATTGATATCAAACTTCATAGGATCAAGCGCAGGGCTAATCTAAAGATTGTGTTAAAATTTCAGCAAAATGGATCCAGCCGTTTTGTGTCCATAGGCACGTCGAACGATCGATAGTTGTTCCTATATATATATATGTATATATATACCGTCGTATTTATACTTCATGTATAGATGTATATACAGATGAAACATTTGGAGAAACTATAAATTAGGACAGTTTTCTCAAACCCAGCTCTGTGACCCGCATTTTACAGGTGGAACAGCTGAAGCAGGACGTGTCGGAGCTGGAGGCGCTGCAGGAGGTGCACGAGCAGCTGGTGGAGTCCAACAGGGACCTGGAGATGGACCTGCGCGAGGAGCTGGAGATGGCGCACGCTGCCACCAGAGAGGTGATACCTTGCCCAGTGGAACGGTCTACTTACTGATTATATCGTATTTGACGAATATATGTGCAATGCTGTCTTTATCTTGTTTGTGAGTTTACATGATAACCGCTGCCCATTGATATTTGCAACACCCGTAGGGTTGCAGATGCGTTGTCACCTTTTAACAAAGTGGGCCCTGGCTACCTCACTCACCAGATGAAACGCAAAAGTGTAACACTTCCACTTCAGGACGGTATTCTGTGAGGTCGTGGAGGTGATCGTGGCGAACTGTTGCGTGGCCATACGACAGTATGATACCGGTAACGTATTGTATATATACTATGGGTATAAAAACACCCCGAAATTAGAAAAACACTGTGTTCATCACACAATATTTTTATTAGTAGGAATCGACCCCCACACCCTCTGGCGTAAGACACTGGTTCACTATCCTATCTCAATCTTCCAATATGAACTAGTGAATGAAATATGAAATAATGAAAAATAATCGACAGTATGAACGTGAACAATGGATGTAGTATTTTAGCGACAACTGAAATATATCATCTGTGAAAATTTGAACTGTCTAACTAGTTCACGAGATACAGCCTGGTGAGACGGACAGACAGTCAGACAGACACACAGACGGTCCCGCCTTACCCTTTGGGTACGGAACCCTAAAAATAACATTTAACCGGGAACTCGGGAACCTTTTTAGAAGTAGGTTGAAAAATCCACTTGTGCAGGCGGTTCGCGAAAGAGAGGCCGCAATGGAGACGATAATGGACCGGGACGCGACCATCGTCAAGTTCCGCGAGCTGGTGCATCGGATGACTGAGCAGCACAACGAGCTGAGGACCCAGCTGGAGTCCAAACAAGGTGACCCTCGATGGCCCAAAGCGACGAACTCAACGCGTAATGCAATTTGGATAATCCAGATAATGCCCATCCCGATACGTCACTTTATAATAAAGTCGTTAATTTATACTTTTCTCGACGCTAAGTTTATAACTAGTAGTATATCTATCTGGTTAACATTTTATATGATGTGAGGCAATATTACTTAAATGCCAAACATTTATTAGGTTAATTAATATTCATTAAGGATTGTCCCCAACAATAGATGGTTCCCTTCTTAACCTTCCATACACGTTTTCCCTTGTAAATCTTATAAATGTTAAACAGTGTACAAAAAATTTCAATGTTTGAAGGCAATATCAAGAGATGGGGTATCGAGTTTTTCATTTCTACGAGTGTATTCATTTTTTTTAATACTTGTAAGTATTGTTTTTTTATTTATATATATATATATGAATTTAAGCAAAAATTTCTTGTACATTGGAAAGTTGGTTCAAAAGCAAATTCTCAATTTCGCCAGAACCGACCCTACAGGAAGACGATTGCAAAAAAATTGCTACAAAAGATGGGACAGAACTCGTTCGAGTTCGAGATCGTTCTGTCCAGTCGACGAACTCTTTGTGTTTACATACGTCGTAGGCATCTTGTTGCAGAGGGCGTTGCGGAGCAATCAACCCCAAAGTCAACAGTCAGTTAATGTCAGATACATCTCGTCAGAGTTCCGAGTATCCAGGCACATAAGCAACAGTCGCTTAATGTTTTGGGCGTATCGAGCATTCAAGCACGAAAGCAATAGTCCAACAAGGCCTAGTTCAGGCCTAAAAGCAGAAGCACCTGAATGTTTCGGCCTTGTCGAGCGTTTATGCCTAAAAGAAGAAGCGAATAGAGCATTCGGGCCCGAATCTAAGAGTCTTAGTGGACGTGTCGAGCATTCGGGCCTGAAGCTAAGAGTCTCATCAGGCGCGTCGAGCATCCGGGCTCGAAACTTAGGGTCTCAATAGGCGTGTCGAGCATCCGGGCCCGAAGCTAAGGAGTCTCAACGGACGTGTCGAGCATCCGGGCCCGAAGCCCGAAGCCTCAACGGGCGTGTGTTGTCGCAGAGGGCGGGGGCGGGGCGGTGGGCGCGCCGCCGGCCGACGCGGAGGCGAGCCCGCTGGCGGCGCGCGAGCTGGGCCCGCTGGTGCAGGCGTCGCGCGCCTCCACGCGCTCCGTGGACCTGCAGCTGCGCGCGCTCGAGCTGGCGCAGGCGAGGGCGCGCGCCGACATGCTCGCCGCGTGCCTGCCCGACCACTTCATGAGCGCGGCGGGTGCGTTGCCGTGGCGACCGATCACAACTTCTCCCCATTACAATACCCTTCGGCCGTTTGCTCTCCCCTGCCGAGCGCTTCCGTCTGCTTGGGTCGTATCTATTTATGTATTGTATATAATATTTGTATCTATATGTTTATTTTTTATTTATAAACCCAATCAGACGAGAAAACAAATGGATATCCCACAATAATAATAATGTTTATTTATTACGTTTAATATTTGTTTACATTTATCGTATTCAGTGATCGAAGTCACCTAGTAAGCATAAAATGCCTGTGACAGGTGACTTCGCTCTTCCATAGCTGATTATGGCATTCACGCATAGTTCCAAGTTACTTTTAATTAAGCAGTTATTAAGTTCGACGACCCGAATGGCGTAGTGGGTTAGTGTACCTGTCTTCAGCGTCAAGGTGTGGGTTCGATCCCCACTATTGGAAAAATATTGTGTTATGAACATTGTGTTTTTCTAGTGTCTGGATGTTTATGAGTATAATATGTATTTATTTAGAAAAGAAAAGTATGTTTAAGTACGTTTATCAGTTATCTAGTGCCCTTAGTACAAACGTTGCTTATATTAGGACTAGAGAATCTTGTGTAAAAATGTGTCCCAAATTATTTATTTATTTCAATGTCTTCTTCACCAACAAAAAGTACTGGCATACGTGAGGAAATTTTTAGTTATTTTTCTTTTTTTTACGCTAAAGAAGTATAATTTTTTACGTGCGTACATAAGTATATATACATATACATACATACACTTTTTTTATGTAAGAAGACGGCAAGCGAGCTGGCGATTCACCTGATGCTGAGTGATGACCGCCGCCCGTAAAAATTTTATTAGCTCGTAGAGTTGCAGATACGATGCCAGCTTTTAGCAATATCGATCCCGGTTACCTCACTCATCAGATGATATACGAAAAGTATAATATTTCCACTTCACGCCAGTGTTCTCTGAGATCGAGGTCGTACTTACCCAGACGGACCTGCCTATTCGTAACAGCAATGACTTGCGTGACCCTACGAAGCCAATACTACGAAGACAATGTTGAAGGAATTCTTGTGAAATATATTACTCGTATTCGAACCACGTCCTGAACGCTATTGGTGGACCCCGACCCTTACTTTTCCCCCTACCTATCTTTTTTATATGAAAATGTTGGCAAAGGAGCAGGCGTTTCACTCGGTATTAAGTGATTATCGCCACCCATGAATACATAATGAAACAAATGCAAAAATATTAAAATTACTAAGAGTAATTTTTTTTCATGGAATAGCGAATGTCCTTCAAGTGAAGACGAGCAAAGGATAATAAAAATATAAAACTATTAAAAATGCCTCAAAAATTAAATCAATTTATTCAATTATTCAATCAGTTACCCTCGTACAAAATGTTTGGCACCCCTGGCATAATATATGTCGCTCTTCGCAGGCGATCACGACGCGATACTGCTTATACTACTCCTGCAGCGGCTCAACACCAAAGCGGAAATAATACTGGGACAGATCCGAGAGAAGTGAGTAAAATTTTTATGACTATATATTCGACAACAAATAAGATAACTTCGAACTGAATCAATAAATTCGTTCAATTTATTTTATTTCTATATAAATTGCACGCACATTATTATCCAAGTCAAAGTCAGAGCCAAAATTTATTTTTTCAATATAGGCTTAATTTAAGCTCTTATTACATTGAAAAACTACCACTGGTCCACTAAACTAGACCTGACCAGAGAAGAAACGGCAAGAAACTCTGCGGTCTTTTATCTCTTTTTTTTTCTATTCTTAACGGGCACATTAACAATTGTAACACATATTATATGAGTTTAATATGCGCATAAAATTTACTTCAAAGGTTATCATAGTAAAAATAAAAATTCTGTCAACCCATACAAAATGCCCAATAATTTGTCAAACTAAAATAATAACATAAGATTTCCTTCTATCTTAAATAGCATTTATTTTAGCGCTAATCTCAGCACTGAAAATGAAACTTATTTAGAGAATATAACTTATAAAGTTTTTGTGTAAATTTATCTACACAATCTAACAATATAAAATTTCAAACATCAATATCGAACAGTCGACCGCTATTTACTTATGCGCCGTCTTATATATCAGTCCTTGGATAAACCTATTCTCTTGATAATAGAAAAAAATTTCTTCTTCCACAGATTCCCAGCGGTTAACGTGTGGGACAGGGAGGTAATAACCAAGACCCACACGGCGGTCCAGTACAGCTTCCGTTGCCAGCTGGAGTACCAGCTGCACATGATCCAGGTGAGCCCCAAGACTCAGCCTTTCGAAATGGCCACTCAGTTGGCAGTAGCCGGGCTCGATGCTCAATTTGTTTATCAGCTTTGGCTTATGTATAATATATACGGTGGTAGGGCCACGCAGCAGCGTCGGCTGTTGCACGAATGGGCAGGCCCGTCCGGGTAAGTGCCACGACCTCACAGAAGACCAGCGTAAAGTGGAAGTATGACAAATACTTTCGCGTTTCGTCTGGTGAGTGAGGTAGCCGGAGCCCAATTCTCAAAAGGTTATCAACGCATCAGCAACCCTCGGGTGTAGCAGATATCCATGGGCGGCGGTATTCACTTAACATCAGGTGACTTGGTTTGGAAACTTTTCGCATAAAAAAAATATTTTTCGCATAAAAAAAATATTATCTATGATATAGGTATATTATATTTTGATGACCCAAATGGCGAAGTGGGTAGTGTACGTGCCTCCTGCGTCAGAGGGTGTGGGTTTGATCCGCACTACTGGAAAAACATTTTGTGATCAAAATGGTGTTGTTCCAGTGTCTGGGTGTTTATATATGTATATAAAAGTTTAAGTATGTTTATCAGTTATATAACACCCATATTACAAGCCTTGCTTAGTTTAGGATTAGAGAGCTTTGTGTAAAAATGTGTCCTAAATAAAAAAAATATATATAAATATATACTACAGGACGAAATGCAAAAGTATAATTCAGAGGTCCGCTGTACTTCCCCAAACGACATTTGCCCATTCGCGCAATGTCACTGTCCACCTGTCACTTAACTGTGGTAGGACCACGTTACAGTCTGCGCTGTTGCACGAATGGGCAGGTCCGTTCGGGGTATTACCACGACATCGTGAAGTGGAGGTATCACATTTTTGCGTGTCGTATACTGAGAGAGACAGCCGGGCCCCGCTTTGTTAAAGGTGGCAACGCGTCTTCAACCGTAAGGGACGTTGCAAATGTGGCACGGGCGGCGGTTGTCACTTACCATTAGGTGAACCGCCAGCTCGCCTGCCACCTTCTCACCTAAAAAAAAATGGATGCGTGTACTAATGTACGCTCGCGAGAAGTTATACTTGTTTGGCATCATTAAAAAATAGTTTTCGATTTCATGCAAATAATTACAATAAAATAATAATAAGACTGGAAAAGGATATGAATAATAAAAAAAAAATGAAAGCGCCATCTACATTCTTTATTGAGAACTGTAACGGGCGAATGAGATTAGCGGTTCAGCGGGCAGCTTCGAAGGTGTTACTTTTGTATTACAATGATGCGCGCGCATCTTAAACTTTCACTCTCATAATTTTTTATAACGCGCCTAAAGAAAGAAATGTAACTTGAAAAATAATTTTTAATAAAAAAAACCGACTTCAAACCGGAAACTAAAAAACTATAACATTTGAGGATTGCCCTCGATTTCTCTGGGATGCCATAATCAGATCCGGGTTTCCTTATCATGGTACCACCCTTGGGATATCTCCTTTCCAACGAAAAAGAATCATCAAAATCGGTTAATGAACGACAAAGTTATCTGCGAACGCACATAAAAAAAAAAAAAATATGTACGGTCGAATTCAGAAACCTCCTTCTTTTTTTGAAGTCGGTTCAAACCTCCTTCTTTTTTGAGGCCGTTTAAAATATATACAGTCGCATTAAGAAACCTTTGAAGTCTGTTAAAACCTCCTTCTTTTTTGAAGTCGGCTAAAACACGCAGCAACCGATCCGACATTTCACGTTTCAGTGCCTGGTGAGCATGTGGTCCGGCGCTTTGGAGAGCTGCCCCCCAGAGCAGCTGTTGCGCGCAGCGGGCGCCCTGCCTGACGCAGCGGCGCAGGAGCGTGCGCTCGACGCGCTCACCTCGCTGCTCCGCTCGAACGAGCTCGACGAGAACTGCGCACTGGACGGTGAGATTTTGCGCAGTTATCTTTGACCAGCGACCCGATGATGATGAATATTTGTTTCCGACATCGCGTTAGAAACCTCTAAAATTATCAGTGTTCCTCTACTATATTATTCATGAATTACATACATATAAACCTTCCTCTCGAATCACTCGTATCTATTAAAGAACACCGAATCAAAATTCGTTGCGTAGTTTTAAAGCTCTAAGCATACATTTGGACAGACTTTGTTTTATACTATGATTATGTAGTTATTATCTATATAGTGATTTGAAGTAACAACTTCTGTTTGGCGCATCCGGAAGGAATTATGAGAGTGACCATCATTTATCTTCATTTAGTCTTCTAATATTTAAAGTAAAGTAAAAGACTATAAATGTTCCACTGCTGGACAAAGGCCTCCTCTGGGGGTATTTTAGTTATTTTTTTATTGATTAGAAATGAAATGGGTTTTTTTAATAGTGTATTTCGATTTCAATTATTCGAACTACATTATTCAAGGTCACTACTGTTGGTAGTCCCGGTAGTGCTTTTTTTATTACAAGAATAATAAAAAAAAAACAATTAAGGCGTACTGGCTAGTAGGAACAGTTATCACTTAGGTCGGCGGTCCCCATGACTGTTTTTTTTATTGATAAGTCAAAAAAAGCTGCACTGGCCAGTAGCCACATTAAAAAAAAGAAAAAGTCGCCATCTCCTTCGATCGGTATCGACGCGGTGATGTGGTGCGGGGCGCAGGTTAGGAACGCTGCCACATTAAAAAAAACTTAGGCAGTCTCATGTGAACTGCCAACAGAAGTGGAAACATAAAACAATATTGAAATTAAAATTGTATAATATTTGATTCTACATATTTCACACTCTGAAAGACAATAACAGTATTTGGATATATATTTTTGCGTATTCCTTTTTTAAAATATCTCTTATCGTTAAAACTTGTAGAAAAAGTACGGAAAGATAGTCGCCGCTGTGGGAATCGAACAATATTTTCGTACTTTTTCTACAAGTTTTAATGTTCAATCTTAAGTGCAGAGATTAGCACTATTAACAACTTTAAATATCTCTTGCGCTTTTCGTTCACCCAAAAGCTACACATATTATATACACAGTATACATACAGCCATGGAAAGCGTTCGGTTGCGATGACGCGCGCGTTCCACGACTTTTTCGCGCCTGAAGAGATTTTCACCGCGAAAAAAAAAAATACAAATTGGCCGTTTCCATCGTGTCTCTTTGCGCAGGCGTCGAGCGCTGCTGGTCGTACCTCGGCGCGATGTGGACCGCGCTCGGCATGGGAGGCGGCGTGGCGCGCGAGCCGGTGGTGCGCGCGTGCGCCGCGCTCGACGCGCTCGCGCGCGCGCTGCACGCGGACGCCAGCGCGCTCGCGCACGTGCTGCAGGTGGGCGCGTGCGCTATGCGGGCGAAGGGGGGGGGGGGGGGTTCATCGACGTCCATAGGCAGCACATCGAGTGCGCGTACGTGAACGGGGGGGAGGGGGGTGGGGGGTATTGATCAACGTCAATGGACACATCGAGGATAAGGATGTGTGGAGATAACCCTCGTTGGGGTATTGTTCGACGTCCACGGGCACATCGACAAGGATGTGCGGAGATGACCCTGGCCCTGTCTGCACTGGCAAGACCCCTGGCGGCTGCTGTTGATTTTATACACAAATAAGTTTGTGTTATTGCTTCACAAACGAAAAAATAAACAGCAAAAAAGAGAACGAGACCGCAACACCCGTTCTTGTTGCTCGCCTCTCGGCTGCTGCTGATTTCATACCTAAATAAGTTTGTACAATTGGTTCACAGACAAAAAAAATTACAAAAGAGGGAACGAGACCGCAGAGTTTCTTGCTGGTTCCTCTCTCTCTCTCTCTCTCTCTGTTCGGGTCTAGTACAGTGAACCGGTGGTAATTTTTAGTGACGTTCAATTAGAGCTTAAGTTAAGCGTATATTGAATAAATAGGGGGAGGGTCCCGCGGTTCGATACATGTGTATTCGAAGATATGTGTAGTCCGTCAATCCACCGTGGAATCGCGTGGTGGACTATGCCCCTATGCCCTCTGTAAAGAGGAGGTCTTCGGGACCAGCTGTGGGGCATATTTAGGCTGTTACTTTTTTACTCTTTTCTAAATCGCGCTCGCCGTCGCTCCGCAGCCGTCGGACAAGCAGCACGAGCTGGGCCAGCTGCACGAGCTGATACAGGGCAGCAGTGCGGCGCTGCAGCAGCAGCTGAAGAGCGTGCGCCGCCGGCTGCCCGCCGGGGTGCGGCTCGACGCGGTGCCGCTGGACCAGCAGGTGGGACCGGCTTCGGATGTTCTTTGAAGCGCTTTGACGTCTCATGTTATGTTGAACATCCCTGCCTTATGTGGCCGGGTCTATTTGTTGTGGGGCCTTTTATAGGTTTAAAGAATTTTTATTCTCATAAAAAACACGAAGTTTTACATAAAATGAGATACGTTACAAGATACGACATATAGTATATAGTTAATTTTAACCTCTTTAGCATTGTGGAAGACAAAAGCAGTAATATTATTTAGGGTAGATGAAAGTATAAAATATCAATAAGCAAGTTGCGTTAAGGGTGAGGTCATATTAAATTATTACAATATAATTTTATAAATTAGGTACATTACAAAACAACAAAAATAAAGAAGAAACGAAAGAAAGAAAATATATATCTATATATGTATATATGGTCTATGTACTGAAGTTTTCTTGCAAGTAGTTCTTAAGTTTCACTTTATAAATATTTATTTTTTCACACTCTTTTAATTCATTAGGTAAGTTATTGTAAAGCTGTACTCCCTCAAATAATACAGTTTTCCTTCCGTAAGTAGTTCTTACTCTTGGTAAGATTATTTTATGTTTATTTCTTAATCGTTGGGCGAATTCGTGTTTTGTAGTTGTAAATTTGAATGAATGTCCTTAGTAGTAATTTTTTTAATTAAAATGCAAGTAAAATATATATATAACTGCCGCAGATTAAATAATTTAGTTTTTTTTATACAGTTGTACTGTTGGTGTAAGGTAGTGATAGTTATATAATACTTTTATAATCTTATTTTGTGTGCGTTGCAATGAGAGTAAATTAGTTTTCTCCTTTATTTATTCGCACTGAACGTCTCTTTTTTTTAATAAAGCTGTCGTGGTTTTACAAAATACGAAAGGTTTGACCCATATGAGATTCGAACCCACAAAAAAAGCACGTAATGAAAATTAGAAAGGGAATAATTTCTTTCTTTCTTTTGTTTTGTTCTATTTTTAAATGTTGCCCGTTGTAAGGACGTTTTATTTACATACATTTCATGTGTACAAAAACTCAGATCCAAAATATTATCTGTGGGCCACACAATTAGTTGTCGACAACCTAGGCAACTTCGCCACGGAGTCGGTTTTATACAGTTCAATAATTGAAATTTATTGATGACTATTTGATTGAGCACATGAGCATACGAGAACTTCTATCTCAGCAAGGTAATAAATCATAACTACAGTTTACAATAAATGTATATAGTTCCTATTCTATATGCCAACGTAACACAACTAGAATCACCGTCCGGGGCCGCGATTCGCCCCCCAACGGGGCGAGCCTCGTAACCCACGCGCGGGGGCGCCCGCGTTTACAGTGCCCTCTTTCGCCCCCAGCTGGTGGAGAGGCTGCGCAGCGAGTGCGCCCCCACGCTGTGGCGGTGCGCGCGCGCTGTGGCGCTGGCGGCGAGGGCGGCCGCAGCCTGCGCCGCCACGGCGGGCGAGAGGGGCGAGGGGGCGCCGCTCACCGCGCAGGCGCTCGCCGCCGTCTGGGCCGCCGCCACCGACAAGCTCTACCAGCAGGTGCGTGCTCAGCCCGCTCAGCTAGAGGGAAAGGGATGGCTATGTAGTTCGTCTCTGTCTGGACGACCGACTAGTGGCGCTGCGTTTTACTTCACGTCAATGACTAGGTCTAGCAGCAGATGCGTGCTCCGCCCTGGCAGCTCGGGGGAAAGGGATGTACATATAGGCTCTCTCTCTCTGGACGTCCGCCACGATCGCAAGCGAGACTGGTAGCGCTGCGATCTAGTTTTCGCCGCTGGCGAGCTCTGCAGCAGACGAAAATGTCCCTTTTAAAATCGAACGAGAGATGCCGCCTCTGCTATTGAAATTAAATTAAAGTTTGTTTGATAATATCATAACAGCTCCAAATAAGTATATGTTTAAAAATTAATTCGAGAATTCTTGTTAGATCATTGATTTTTTTTATTTTTGTGAAAAGTTGCCAAGCGAGTAAGTTGTTCACTGATGCTAAGTGAATACCAGCGCCCTTGGAAATCTGCTACAACCGAGGGTTTGCAGATGCGTTGAAAACCTTTTGAAAATTGGGCGCCGGCCACCTCACTCACCAGAAGAAACGCGAAAGTATTATACTTCCACTTTACGCCGGTCTTCTGTGAGGTCGTGGTACTTACCTGGACGAGCCAGCCCGTTCGTGCAACAGCCGAGGCAGCTGCGTGGCTCTACCATCTTTTGATTTTATTTCGCTTATTCCATTTGTATTTTTATTATCCGTATGTGTATTTATTTCTATATTTATATGTATGAATATATATATTTACATATTTATGTACCTATTTATACTTACATATATGCTTTACTTTTCACCATGACAAATGTTGACTGGTAGAGAGTGCATTAGGCATTAAGTCCGCCTACTCAAGCCCTAAACTTAAGGTGTAGCAATGAAGTTTCTATATATATATATATATATAGATAAATAAATAAATAAACATTTGCAGGACGACCACGGGCCAGTGCGCACTATAAGGCACGCGCTGAACGCCGTCTCGGCGGACGTGAACAAGTTGGCCGCCTTCGTGCAGGACAACGAGTACGACATGATGTCCCTCACCAACGTCCAGGTGGAGAAGGTGAGTGGGGATCTCTATCTCTTGTTGGGGAACTCCTTCTCCAATACAACATTATTATCTCTCACCAATTTTTAAATATGTTGTAATCTACAAATACATTGCCAATTCCACTTCTGTTTCTTTCTATTTGACAGTTGTGGACTGTTCTGTTTTTTATTAGATTTGTGTTCGTTCAAGGCAATTAGTTTGTCGTACTTTATTATTGCTTTTTTACCTTCCGCTTTATATTTTACTAGCTTTTACCTGCTGCTTCGCTCGTGTTAAATCCCTAAAATAAATACCTTATTTTTTTAATGAAAAGAACCTTTTTAATATCTCTAAAAATATGTGTACAAAGTTTCATGATAATCGGTTGAGTAGTTTTGGCGTGAAAGCGTAACAAACGAACTTACATTCACATTTATAATATTAGTAGGGATTATTTCTGTAATAATTGTTTCCTTTTCTCCAAAACCTTATATGGGTAAACTTCGTTATAGTATCCTTACTTCCTTACTATAATATTATGAAGGCGAAAGTTTCTGATAAAGTTCAGAGCTGTGTTTGAGAAAACTATTATAATTTATAACTGTTACTCTCCATTACTTGGACACATCCTTACTTATATTATAATCGCGAAAGTTTGTATGTATGGATGGATGTATAATCTTTCACGCAAATACTACTGGATGGATTTTAATATAATTTTAGAATGATATAGCTTGTAAATCAGAATAAAACATAGGCTATCATTTATATACATATTTTTATGTATATATGTCTTTCTGGCTGAATGTTACGCCTTCAGCCTATTCTACGCAGACGTAGTCGCGGGCAGCAGCTAGTATAGTAATATTTTTAATGTTTTTCTTGTTTTCTAGTCATAATATTTTCTTTCCCATAGTAGTGAAGGTAACTTTAATTGGTCTTCTTTTTTTCTCATGTTTTTTCTACTTCTTTTACTGATTCAATTTCGTTTCGCCGTTAAGAATTATTAATTTTATTTATTTAATACAAATACCAAATTTTTCACTCTGTTATGGTTAATAAAAATACCAATTTTTTCTCTGTTATGTCTCTCCATTTAATCAAAAATATTTTCTTGTTTTTCTACTCGTTCTTACACACTTATATTCTTGTTTATGTTGATGATATTTGTGTCTATTTGTTTAATTTTTCCTTTTTATTCTGTTAATTACATTTTTACTGATTTTAAAATGTTTGTTATTAAAACTATTATTATTTTTTGCTATTCGCTGGTAGATGTCGCTACTGTGCTGCTATGTTAATTGTTTGTGCTACTAGTGTCTAGATGGCGTTAGCTTAACGGTTCGTTGAACTTTTTGTTTTCTCTGACTTATTTTATTTTCTAATTTAGATTTATCGGTACAAATTGATTTTTTTCATTTTTTTACTTACCATCTATTTTTTATAATCTGTAGACTTATTTGGTTTTCACTTTTTTTTTTAAGATTTTTGTTAAGTACCTTAATACGTTGATACCTTGATACGATAGGTACCTTTTGATAAGTACCTGTTTTTTTACCTCGTTTCTTACCATTGTTAAACTGTATTTGTGTTCGTTGTTTTTGTTGTTTTTCCAACTATTTCGTTAAATAATATAAACACAACTAAATTTGTATTTACGACAATTTCTAGCAGACTTATTCTGGTTAGGAAGGATTTTTGATCTTATTTCTTGTTTTTACTATTTTTGTTTGCACTTTATTAAGCTGATTACAAAACAGTTGCTAGCATGACACGGTGGCGCCTTTTTTAGTATACATATCCTGTCAAATGGTAATATAATAATGTATAAATAAGTATTTATCTATACAATGTTTTTTATTTTTTTTTAAAATACCGTTGCAAAATTTCTTTTAAACAAATTGATAGAAGGCGTCATTAGAAATTCTTTAAAAGTCATTTTCAAACGAGAGTTTTTAATTCTTCTTGTCATGTCATCAAATGTTTCATAACAAACATTAAGCTTTAAAATGTTGTTGGAATCGTAGAATTTGATGAAGAAATATGGAAGTAATTGTGTACCGTATAAAAAATCTGTGAGAAATAATATATAGAGGTTTGTTTATGAAGAGCCGTGATAGTTCATTGGCAGGGCGCTCGCCTTTAATTCAATATACTCGAGCAACCTGAGTTCGATCCCCGGTGCCGGTGTTAATTTTAAGTGTTTACTAATCGCGTGCTCGGCATTGAAGGCAAACATCGTGAGGAAATCTGCATATTTTCCAATATAACAAGAAATAATAACAAAAAAGATATATAATATTTCGAAGATATGTGAAGTCCGCCAATATGCAGTGGAGTCGCGTGGTGAACTATGTCCTAATACTCTCTGAATAGAGGAGGCCCTTGCCCAGCTGTGGGCTGTTTATTGGCTATTACTTTACTTTACTTTTTCTGTTAATGTTGAAACCGTCCATTCGTTCTCAGCCCGTGCCACCGGTGGTGCTCCGAGCGCAGCTGGTGAAGAAGCAGCTTGAGGAGACGAAGACCCTCACCATAAAGCTGGAGAACAAGGAGGCAGACATAAAGGAGCTGAAGAAGGCGCTCAAGGTGGGTACCAGTCAACTGCAACTAAACAAACAAATAAACAATTGCAAATAAATAAATAAATAAAATAATGTATACCAGCCCATGTACGTTCCTTTGTGGTATTCTGAAGACCAAATGTATGCACTCATTTTGATGATTCTGAAGTCAATCGATCCGGGCGATCGCTTTTAATTCGATATAATGAAAAATGATAAGAGTGATTTTTTTTACGATGCGCGACACCTAAAAGCGACACCAAATTAATTGTGTTACCATGGCAACCAATAACTGTATTAATCAGTCTCTTTTTACAAACAGAGTACTAGTCTGGCACACGGGTTACAGTTTTTGGTTTATTTTTATTTTAATACCCTAAAGAAGTATAACTTGTCACGTGCCTACATAAGTAAACGCACACTGTTTTTCGTATCTGCCCTTAACAATTGGGATGTATAAATAATGTATTGCATTGTATTGTTGTGTATACAGCGTGTCGTTACCATCGCGACAATAAATGAACACACGTCTAACGCTACTTGCCAATCTTCTTATATATAAAAATGGATTGCTGTTCGTTAGTCTCGCTAAAACTCGAGAACGGCTGGTTTTGGCTAATTTTGGTTTTGATATATTCGTGGCAGTCCAGAGAAGGTTTAAACGATGAGAAATCATGGAAAAATTGCATCGAAAATCGAAATAGCAACAATTTTATTTTCCCATACAAACTGAACCTGACAACCTGTTAAACGATTTTTGAACGCGTTCCGATTCCTCTAGAAATAAGTTGTATGGCAAAACAACGTTTGCCGAGTCAGCTAGTAATCATAAAAAAATATTAAAGTTAAACAAAATCCATAATTAAAAAAAATATTTTTCAAACAAACTAATTAAGTTAAAAAGAAACAAAATTTGTAACATCCTATACAACTCGCGCCACAGCGTCGCATTACAAGCCTCTCCTTCTAACAGTATGTTTTGTCTCTTTTAAATTCATGCAACCCATTCATATGCTTTGTGACCTTTACAAATGAAATTTACGTTATAGTTTTATACGTAAAGGTGTTCTAAAATTGTTTGTTTTGGAAAATTTGATAACTCGGTAAATATTGATGTTTAAATAATGTAAATGTTTTATACAATTTTAAAAAGTTATCCTCTATATGTGTGTTCATTTATTGTGGCGGTGGTTACGACACGCTGTATAATGTATTGCAGGCGAAGCACGAGGAGCTATCAGAGATGCAGATCAGACGGGAGTTGGGCGAGCGCAAGCTGTCGAGCGCTGCGCACGCGTCGGAGCTGCGCGCCCAGCAGCTGCAGAGGCGGCTCGACGACGCCCTCAACCAGCTCAAGAGGTGCGCCCGCCCTATGACATTAGCCGAAGGGCCACGGAGGCATCCAACACACGCCCGCCCTGGGGGACCCCACCCTATTTCATATTAACTGAAGGGCTACGGAGACATCCAAGACATGCGCGACCCTGGGGGACACCCGCCCTACAACATATTAACTGAAGGGCTACAGAGACGTCAACGCACGCCCACCTTGGTTGACGCCCGCCCTACAACATATTTACTGTAGGGCTACGGAAACGTACCTCGCTCAAGCCCACTCTACATACAACATATTGACTGAAGGGACACGGCGACACCCAACACACTCTCGACCCTGGGGGACCCCGCCCAACAACATATTATATTTCTCGCTACACCTCGAGTGTAGTGCTGTGTACACCCGCAAGGCTGAAGTCTGGTGGCGGGCCGACGTATGCCCCGAGCTATGGGAAACAGCGGGGCCTTACGCGTGAGGTAGCTGGGGCCCACTTTATTATAAGGTGTCAATGCATCTGCTACCCTATGGCTGTTGCAATTGTCTATGGGCAAAGGTTATCACTTAAAAAATAATACATTTACATCATAAACCTTTTGCTGTATTTCAAAATATGAGGCGTCATTAGATACGTTCTGGTTATGGGTGTTATACCTGTAGGATATATTTATTAATATGGTATACGCGAAGAAAATATTAAGAGCAAATGGTAAATGCGTTTTTTCAGCGCGAAAGTTACTTCGTTCAAACGGTTCGTATGGATCGATATTTTAACTTGGCGCACGTCACCAGTTTATTGATTTCGTGTAAACGTAGATGCGAATAACGATAGTCTACGGAGATTACATTGTTCTACTTCACTGCAAAAGCGTCTTTTTTTGTTTATCGAAGAAGACTATAACCGTTTTTTCGTTAAAACCGGTTCATTCATAACCGTTTTTTTTTGTTGTCGAAAAAACCTGTTGCCGTCTTTTTGTTATCGAATAAGACTGTGACCGTGGCGATTTCGCGTTGCAGGAAGGAGAAGGAGTTCGAGGAGACCTTGGACCACCTGCAGCAGGACATCGACTCGCTGGAGATGGAGCGGGTCACACTGAGGGACAAGCTGAAGTTGTACGCCAAGCGGGGCGGCACTCACCACGGTGCGTATGTGTGCGTGAGTGCGTTAGCGCGTGCGTGTGTGAGTGCGAGAGTGCGTGCATGCGTGAGTGCGTGTGTGAAAGCGTTCTTGCGTGCGTGCGTGCGTGCGTGCTAGTGAAATCGCGTTTTGTGCAGAGGAGTGGAATTTTGAAGGGTCACATTTATATTGTACAAATCGAATTATCGTGGTAAAGACATGCCACTTCTGTTGCACGTACGGGCAGGCTCGTCCGGGGAAGTCCCAAGGTGTCGCGTAAAGTAAAAGTAACAGCCTATACATGTCCCACTGCTGGGCAAAGGCCTCCTCTATAGAGAGGGTATCAGGGCATAGTCCACCACGCGGCCCCGCTGCGGATTGGCGGACTTCACATATTTACGAAATATATTTTTTTTGGTATTATTTCGAAATTTTCGAAAATATGCAGGTTTCCTCACGATGTTTTCCTTCACCGCGGAGCACGTGATAAGTCAGCACTTAAAGTCAAAAACTTCATTGGTGCCGGCACCGGGGATCGAACTCAGGTTGCTCGAGTATATTGAATTAAAGGCGAGCGCCCGGATATTGAGCTATCACGGCTCCACTGAGCTACACTGAGCTATCAGGTGTCGCGTAAGACCTTTAAAAGAAGTATTTATGCTTTTTGGGGTGTGTGTACTTGGACGGCCGGTGGTGATCATGAACGTCAAGTGAACAGCCGATCTTTTGCGACGACCTTACCTGTTGTGGTTAAGCATGAATTTTATTACTTATTTAATTATTTTACGCAATGTATGTTTGTGTGTGTGTGTGTGTGTGTGTGTGTGTGTGTGTGTGTGCGTGCGTGCGTGCGTGTGCGTGCGTGCGTGCGTGCGTGCGTGCGTGCGTGCGTGCGTGCGTGCGTGCGTGCGTGCGTGCGTGCGTGCGTGCGTGCGTGCGTGCGTGCGTGCGTGCGTGCGTGCGTGCGTGCGTGCGTGCGTGCGTGCGTGCGTGCGTGCGTGCGTGCGTGCGTGCGTGCGTGCGTGCGTGCGTGCGTGCGTGCGTGCGTGCGTGCGTGCGTGGTGCGTGCGTGCGTGCGTGCGTGCGTGCGTGCGTGCGTGCGTGCGTGCGTTGCGTGCGTGCGTGCGTGCGTGCGTGCGTGCGTGCGTGCGTGTGTGTGTGTGTGTGTGTTTTTTTATTTATAGTGTTTACGATATTTTTTATATGTTTAATATATTATTTATTTCATTTATGATAATGTAGTTATATATAGTAATATTTTCGAATAATTTATGTGTATACATTTGTTTCATTGTATCAAATAAAATATGATTGGGTTTTTTACGCGTGTGACAACTTGTCGAGCTTTTAATATATCACGTACGTGTATGGGATAGTATATATCGAACTTTATGGTATGTTGAGTTTAAGTAAACTTAAGGTTATTTGTTTTGCTGACGTTACTTTGAAAGTTTTGACTCGTACTCTGACGGTTTTTTTTTTCATTACTTTATTGATTCTAGATATGTTTAAATTATATACATGTATTGACTCCGTGCCGCAGTTGTCAAGGTATCGGTTTCGGCGCTGGGGGTCGTGGGCTCGATTCCCACACAAGACAACTATTTGTGTGACCCATGGATAATATTTTCTGATCTGGGTGTTTGTACACTTGTAATTTCTGTTTGTAAACGCTCTTGCAACACAGGATAATTTTATCCTAGAGTACGGACAATAAAAAAAAAAAAAAAAAATAATTTCACTCATGACTGCCATTATAATTTAATCTAGAAGTGTTTATATCACGATAACTTTCAACGTAAGGACAGCAAATGAGACAAAACATTCTAAAATAATGGAGCGCGATCGCGCTTTGAGAAGCGACACTTCGCTGCGAGCAAAAAGACAGCTTTAACCGGTTTCTAGACCGCCAAGCGTTTTAAGCGCTCGACGAGAATACAGCTTTCGGCCGATGTCTAGAATATTAAGCGTCTTAAGCGCTCGATTTTGAACACTCCAAGCGCTTCATCGCTCGAGAGGTGTCGCTACTAGGCGAACTGAAAAACGTACTAAAGTATAAATTGTGTGCGCTTAGCGGCCGTGACGCCTCCAGCCTCCCTGCGGGACTTCACACGTAAGAGATGCACATATACAAAGCATGCCCATACCCATCACCGATCCAATATCGACCCTATCGCCATCGCGATAAAGTTCAATTCCGAACGGCTTCTGTTCACACGAATTAATGCTTCCTAATGCCGATTACTTCCGAATTTAATTTTTTTTCAATCTCTGAGACAAAACTGACATTACGTGGATTGGCAGTTTTATTGCAATTCTTAATTAGTGATGTGCCAATATCGGAAATTGACGTTGATAAAATTATTGTTTTTGTATAACAAGTTATCTTAAAAAAATGTAAACTTATTTAAAACGTAATAATACAAAATTAACATGGTATAGACAACAAAATGTGAAACATATAATTTTAATTACTTAATTACAATTAATCAGATTCCGATAATGGATGTCTGAAGAATATTCTGAATCATCAAAATCGCCATCTTCGCCTATAATAAATCAGTAATGTCATCGACGATATGGCCCAGATGATTCATTCAGTCTTTTTTATTTCATAAGCTACACACTCTTTCTACCGCATAGTACCGTATTTGATCTACGTATACAAAAAGTTACGATTCAACAAACCGGTGCCGTAGGCACAACACTGCATAAAAGTGCTGGCATCATTATGTAAATTTGACATTTGGATGTGTCAGTTTTGTCTCTAAGATAAAAAAAACAAAGGATAATTGTTGTTTATCTAAACTTAACTTATAAAACACTGTAATGTTAATAATACTTTATTCGTCAATGAAACACTTTATATTAATTTCTCTTCAATAGCTTCTCATACCATATTTAATATTTCTTAATTGTTAAGTAAACGAGAACGTCTATTTAATATGCTGTCTGTACTCCGCTAGCGCCGGTGACCACGTCACCCACTCCGAGAGAGACGCTGCGTAAGACTAATGTTTTATTCGGTTTTGCATATGTTATTTACAGCATGGGTGTAGTTTTTTTTTTCTGCATTCACCTAGAAGCGAAGAGACGTACGCTCATAGTATATATTTATATCACAAAAAGTTCTCCTTCGGTGAGAAAATCTACATATTAGGCAGTAAAAAATACAAAAATGATAATTAAATATTACTTATGGTTGATATAATTGTAGTTCGTTTTGTTAAAATTACTAATTTGGATAATGAGAATAAATGAATTCGGCTAATCAGAACAAACATTACACTGAAAATCGATTTCAATTGTAATATTTATAAAGCCGCTTTCAATTTGTGTTTGAATGTGTAATATGGGAAAATATAATAAAATATATAAAATTAAAATATATATAATTAAAACCTACAAAACCTAGCGACAAATTGTTCCCAACTGTACACCCGTGTAACGGGAGCGAGACAGAATGATAGTTGGAGCGCGGCGCGAACGAGAGGGCAATACAATGAACTTCAAAGATGCATTAAAGTCTATATATATATAATTATATCTCATGTCAATGGTATAAGGTCTAACATGTCAGTAACACAGCTTCTACCATTCGAAACAAACTTATATTTGGTCGTTGTTCATATTATTAAAAAATTATATAATATACATAATATATATAATTTTTCAATTTGTCTGCATGTTTTGTAAATATTTTTCCGTTTCTCGTGATAACTTATTACGTGTTTATTTTTAAGCGAATCCGACGTGCGAAAGAGAAAGCATTATCGGAGAAATTTTCATGGTCGTAGGGTTACTACTACGAAAACAAAAGCTTTACCTATTTAGAACTTGTAAGCTAAAGTTAACTCCATGAAATATTTATCCACATACGAAACTGTCTCTTTCGCACATCTCAGTATAATATTTAGAAGCATATCGCCGACTCGCCGCAAAACAATGAAGAATTTGTTTAAAAAAAAGCAGCATTTAACGCTTTCTGTGTATTATTTCTATATTTCGCTATCATTACTTGCCTTTCGTTATTTTTGGATTTTTGATTTCATCTAGTCTTCTAGTCTTTAATATAGCCGAAATCTAGATTTTGTTTATTTTAATTTTAATTCCACGATACATTTTCTTGTAACGCATTTTGATTATATTTTCTTGTGCGGCCCTTGCAGTGTAATATTGCTATACATAATTAATACACTAGCCATAATGGACCTTAAGCCTATTATGTTACAGTCCATATTTCTCTAAAGTTTTGTAAAGTGTCTGTATACAGTATAAACAAATATTTGTTTTAATCGTTTTCAACAACTAACTGCCACCCAGAAACGATGATTAGGCACTTAACTATTAATGAATCCCCTTAGATAAGTCTTAAAACATTTGGAATGTTGTCAAACGGTAAAACTCTTTATCTCTGATAACCCAGAAATACAAAATAAACATGTTACAGTACTCTACGATAAATATTGCACGTTTGGAAAGAGACAATCGTCTTATTTCGATTTCGTAGAACGTGATCTCTGTCGCACACCAACTATTTGACGTCGGTCAGTCGTATAAGTGTGAGACAGAGATAGCGCTCTACTAATCCGATATTAGTCGATTGTATCTATCTATAGCTCGATTTACAATACTTATCGCGGAGTACTGTATTTTCCTTTGTCTAAAAATCTAATATCATACAGTTCATTTAAAAAAAATAGCTTATATTTTTTAAGCTTTCTGTTTTTCCGTTAATTTAATCTTCCGAAATGGCGATCGTAACAAATTAATAAAAAAAAAAAAAACTAACGCGTCTCTACGCTTGTTTCGATTCGATTTTGATTCTGTCGACGCCGAAATGCTAACGTAAATGGTAACACCGTCTCATTCTCGCCGAAACGTGGTAACACCGTTCTATTCTCGAATTCCAGAGGAGACCACGGTGAAGGTGGCAGCTGGGGTCGCGGCGGGAGAGGTGAACGAGGCTCTTCAGCATCAGATCAAAGTGCTGAGCTGGTGGGTTTGAAATTTAAATGTTATTCATCTTTAATAATAATAATAATAAAATATCTTTATTCACATAGACGCTTGCGCGTTCTTATGAAACGTCAAAATTTTAAAAGAAATTAACACGTTCGTAAGTTACCACCGGTAACCGGCTTTATCCCTGTAACGGCCCTACCGCAGCTAAAAAGTATTTTCAACTGTGGTAGCGCTTCGCAACAGATCACACTGTTGCACGAATGGGCAGATCCTTCCGGGGAAGTACCACAAAAGACCGGCGTGAAATGGAACCTGATGTTAAGTGAATGGTCCCATGGACATCTGCTACACCCGAAGGTTTGCAGATGCTTTGCCACCATTAATATAGTGTGTCCCGGTTACCGCACACACCAGACGAAACGCAGAAGTGTAACACTTGCTTCAAGCCAGGATGTTGTGGTATTTCCAGAACGGACCTGCTCATTCATGCAACATCGAAGACTGTTGCGTGGCCCTACCACGGCTACAACATTTACAACCGACTCCAAGAAATAACGGGATTCATTTCGTTTGTATTTTTTTTTAATGTTCGTTACCTCAGAACTCCTTCATTTACGAACCAATTTTAAAAATTCTCTTTGCGTTGGTTTTGGTTCAGCTCTCATGTGGTCCCGTATTCATTTCACTTTTTGGATGTTTTTAGGGATTCGTTCCCAAAGGGTAAAACGGGAGCCCTATTACTAAGACTCCGCTGTCCTGACCACAAATAAGTACTAAAAAAAACAGAATAAAAAAATATGACTTGGGCTCCAATACAGCGGATTCATGAAATTTAGTATGTCCGTAGATTCGGGGGCGAAAAATCGATCTAGCTAGGTTTCATTTTTAGAAAATGTCCTTTTATCCGTTTTGAATGAATGAAAAATATCATTCGAATATGACGGCAAACTTCACCGAAAACAAAATGTTGTAATAGCTCGGTCGGTAATCGGGCGGCCCCGAAACAGAAGGTCCGAACCACGGCATTTACACACTTATTTTTTTACTTTTTTTCGGTTCCAGATCATTGTTTTTTTTTATATTTTGTCGATCCAGATGGTTTTGTTATTTTTTCCCTTTTTTTTAAAGTTCTTTCTTTAGTGAAAAACACCAGTTCATATTTTCTTATTATAAAGTGGGTAAGATCGAAAAATAATATGCATATTTCATTACTCAGTAATTTGTATCTAAATGTAATTTCCAAAATACACGATTTACCAAAAAAAAAAAAAACAAACCGAGAAAAGCTCGGTCTCCTCCAGGTACTATTCATTACTTGAAATACCTCATTTTCGGACAAAGGTTTCTAGCGATACATCCAATATATCGATTATTTTATTTTGAGTTAGATTTGATTGATATATTTATAAATATCGATATCTTTTGTCGCTGCCGACCCCTACTGAGCCGTCTGTCCGCAAACGGCCGCAGGACCGTGGAGAGGGAGAGGGCGGCGCGGGTGGCGGCGGCGAGGAGGGCGGACCGGGGGGCGGTGCGCGCCCTCCGCCCCCTGCAGCACCCCGGCGCCCCCGAGGCGGCGGCGAGGAGGCGAGCCGCCGCGCAGCTCGAGCGGGACCTCGCCGCGCTGCACTCGGTGAGTGTGTGAATGTGTATGTGTATGTACTGGCGCCGCGCAGCTTGACCGCGAGCTCTCCGCCCTGCGCTGCGTTAGTGTGCGTGTTTGCTGCGACCGCTGAGTGCGGGACGTTGTGTTTGTGAACGTGTGTGGGTGTGTAGGTGTGCGTGTTCGGCGTACGGGTATAGCTCTGTTGTACACGTACGGGCGTTAGTTTGCGTGTTTGTTGTGGCCCCTGGGTGCGGGACGTTGTGAACGTGTGTGGGTGTGTAGATGGGCGTGTTTGGCGTACGGGTATAGCTGTGTTGTACACGTACGAGCGCTGCGCAGCTTGAACGCGAGCTCTCCGCCCTGCGCTCCGTGTGTGTGTGTGCGTGCGCATGCTTATGTGTGAATGCGAATACTTACCGGTGAATGCAATGCGTCGAGACGGTGTGCACGTGTGTGTATGTGGGTGTATGTTCTCGGTGAACGGGTCCAGTTGTTTTGTATGTAGTTTGGTATGCTGCATTCAGTGTGTGGGCGCTTGTGCGGGCCGCTGAGTGCGCGTCGTACGTGTTTGTTTACGTGTGTGGGTGCGCTGCGTGCTCTGATACGGATGGGTGCACGCGTATTAGTTTGTTGTTGCCGCTAAATAAGGCGGGGCGTTGTGTGGGTGTGCACGCGTGTGTATGATGTGTACATGTTTGAGTGTGTGCTCGAAGTTAGTACGTAAAGCTGCGTTGCATACGAATGGGTGGACGCGTTTTCTATTTAATTGTAGCCGCTGTGTGCTAACAGTGAACCCCCCCCCCCCCTCAGGAGTGGACTCTGTTCGTGGCGCGCTCGGGGCTCGTGAAGTTCCCGGAGGACCCGAGCAAATACGCCAGGGCGCTGCAGCAGCATAAGGAGAAGCAGCGCGAGATAAGACGCCAGTTGGAGGTGGGTCCTTCCCCTCTATGGTCTTTGTTTGATGTTTAATCTGTTAGATATGGTCTTTCCTGCCGGCCCCTTCATCACTTTTTCGTTTACTTTATTTTACCTCCCGAACGTTTCGAACTATTTTAGCTTTCATCGTCACGGGACAGGCTGAGGCGTTGGACGTCTTAATGTCACAGTCGGCCCGAGCTGCCGCCAGTTTTTGATTATTTTTTTTATGAAATGGTGGCAAACGAGCTTGCGGTTCACCTGATGTTAAGTGATAACCGCCGCCCATGGAAATTTGCAACACCCGTAGCGTTGCAGACGCGTTGCCACCTTCAAATAAAGTGGGCCCCGGCTACCTCACTCACCAGACGAGACGCAGAAGTGTAACACTTCTACTTTACGCCGGTCTTCTGTTAGGTCGTGGTACTTACCCGGACGGGCCTGCCCGTTCGTGCAACAATGTTGCGTGGCCCTACCACAGTGAAACCACAGTTTAAATTGTTAATTTTGTGTCGATCCACGCTTGTTAGTTTTATCTTGTCTTGTAATAGTGGTTCGTTTGGGGCCTAGGTTTAATTTATCTTTTTGCCTAGCGGACCCGACGGACGGCGCGGCGTCTTCAGTCTGAAAATTTCAAACTTTATTGAATAAATTATAAATTTTTGTAGACGGATGAAGAATAACTTTTGCCGCTGCCTGTTTCTTATTTTTTGATTATTTTTCTATTTTGAACTTTTGATAAATCGAAGAAATTACAAAAATTTAAAAAGTTGTGAATTTTTTTAATGATTTTGTGAAACTAAACCGCTCACCAGTTCACTTGAGCACAACACAAAAAATTTCATCCATATCAATCCAGCCGTTTAGGGGAATACATTAATAGACTAACGGCAGGTTTCGACATTCAATCTGCAGATGAATTTGGAATTTCGGGGTGAGTATTATGGAGCTAATGTCAAATACGTATCGCCAGTGACCAAATCTATCTGTAGATTGAATATTGAAACCGGCCGTAACTTAGATAGGACCCCAAGGTCCTATCTAGGTTACGGCCTATCTAAGTTACGTTGTCATTTTGGGACGATGGTATCGCTAAGACCCCTGGTAAACTTTGCACCGCCTCTTCGCCAGGAGCGCTTGGCGGCGCTGCAGACGGAGGCGCGCAACCTGCTGCTGCTGCACAGGCCCTGGCGGTGCGTGGAGGCAGACTTCGCCGAGTTCCCGGCGCCCGAGCTGGCGGCGGTGGGTCTCTTTGACTTTGGACGGCCGTTTTGACGTTGGATTGTCATTTTGACTTTGGACAGTCATTTTGACGTTGAATTGTCATTTTGACGTTGGACAGTAATTTTGACTTTGGACAGTCATTTTGACGTTGGATTGTCATTTTGACTTTGGACAGTCATTTTGACGTTGGATTGTCATTTTGACTTTGGACAGTCATTTTGACGTTGAATTGTCATTTTGACGTTGGACAGTCATTTTGACGTTGGACAGTCATTTTGACGTTGGACAGTCATTTTGACGTTGGACAGTCATTTTGACTTTGGACAGTCATTTTGACGTTGAATTGTCATTTTGACGTTGGACAGTCATTTTGACTGAGTCCGATAGCAATAAATGCGATAAAACACAATGTAGATAAAAGACAGATTTTCGTCGGTGTGGCAATCGGCCGTTTAGCGTTGTGGTTAAAGCGTCTGGGCGCAAATCCCGAAGACGTGGGAATCGAACCCACGAATGACCTTTCGTACCGGCCATTGACATGTACACCATCTGACGGGTTGCAGATGAATTGACAACATTAACATAGTGGGCCTCGGCTACCTCTATTTGAAAAAAAAAACGAGGTCGCAAGTACGTACCAGATTCAGATTTAGAATCAAATATTGCATAATTATGCTCTGTTAATATGTCCGTCGTCTATAAAATCACCCCGTATATTTATAATATATATTTATTTACAAAAGGAAAATATGTACAAGCGTTGCTTAGTTTGGGATTTAGCGAACGTCGTTAAAAAATGTCCTGAAATTTATTTATTTTACTTACTATTTATAAACAATTGTTTATTTATTCCTCTCCCGCAGGCGATCAACCCGAAGACAATCGAGGTCGGGACCCTCCGCTATCCAGCGCCTGAGACGGGCGCCAACGGGGATACAGTATACGTCACTCCAACTCAGCTCGCCAAGTGAGTGTCGATTTGTCACCTTGACTTTTATGCCCTTGAAGACCATCACAAATTCAAATAACTTTATTCAAAGGAAGCATTTTTTTAATGTGAAAAGTTGCCTAACGAGCAGACGGTTCACCCGATGTTAAGTGAATACCGCCGCCCATGGACATCCAACACACCCGAGGGTTACAGATGCGTTGACAACCTTTTGAAAATTGCGCTTTGGCCACCTCACTCACCAGACGAAACGCGAAAGTATCATACTTATAACGGCTGTTGCACGAATGGGCAGGCACGTCCGGGCAAGTGCCACGACCTCACAGAAGACCAGCTCAAAGTGGGGTGGTGGGGTGAGTGGGGTGGCCGGGGTCCATTTTATTACAAAGTGTTGCAAATGTCCACGGACGGCGAGTGTCACTTAACATCAGGTGAACCGCCAGCCAATTTGCTACCTCCTAACACGAAAGAAATACGAAGGAATAATACTCACGCTAGTTTCTCGTTTTGCCAGGCTTCGGGAGTTGGTGACGGAGCTGCAGTCTGAAGACATACAGCTCGAGCTGGCCCCGCTCGACGACACCGTCTGCGCCGCCTAATGTTCGAGGGAAAGGAAAATGCAACTTATCTCATATGCATACGGCTCAGAATCGCCTAACACTGTTGAAATCAATCATACGTTTATGAATGAGCCCTTTTATTGAAATTTGCGCCTTATTACTTAATGCGTAAGGTTCTAGGTCTGCTACCATCTATCATAAATGTTCTTTTTTTTTTTCAGTAATAAGCCTTACTCTCTAATTCTAAATGATTTGTAGTTCATAATCGCTTAACAGTCCGTTAAAATTAATGATACGTCTTTTTTTTTAAATGTGTGTGTACTTATGTACACGCTTTAGAAGTTATACTTCTTTGGCGTAACAAGATAAAAAAAATCTTTTCAAAAAATTTATCTTTCGTCTTCTACGTTTGTAGAAAAAAATAGAAAAAAGGTATTTAATACATTGAAAGTTTTATTATAACGCATTATCTAGTCAAGTAAAGTTTACTTAAATATCACAAAATAAATATGTATCGTGAATACAGTTGTCAGTTCTCACGCAAACATACGTAGATGTCTGGCCAACTTCAGGGTGTCGGTTTTTCCCCACGGTGTGCGCGCTCATCTTAAACATTACTCTCATAATTTTCCCCTAACGCGCCAAAAATGTATAACTTCAAAAACTCACTATGCACTACTACTAATATACTAATGCGCATGTAATAAGTTTCTAAATGATGTAAAGTTTTTCTTAAATTCTAACACATTCGATTTTCGCATGTATTGCACCCTGTCACGGTTCATTTTGTGCTATGAACACTGTATAAGTTTTTTTTATTCCAGCGGTTCATAACATGTCAAGTTAGAAATCATCACACACGATAAATGTTACAAGTAAAAAAGAAAACATTTCGAGGAAACCTGTTCCGCAAACCGACAATGGTGGACTACGCCCAAAAATATTGTCCGTATACAAATATTTTCTGAGTCGATGAATTTGATGATTTGAGAACATTTATTGATTGTAACCGATTGTAATTTAATTACAATAACGTGTAATATGTGTACCTTTAAAAGAAATCCCGATTTCTTCGTGGATTAAATGAACGGTTTTCCGTCGAGCGGCTCGTATAGACTGGATTTCTCGTTCCCGAGTTAGGTCGCCTAATCCGCGGTAACGTAAGGGACGGTAAAGGAGAGAGCGAGAAAGGAATATGCCGATGATGTTTCAAACGTTAAACATTAATCATTTACAGATAAATTGAAAAGTGCAGTTGAATGTTACTTCTGTCTAATAATCATTACTAATTTTTGTTTCTTTGTTCGCTTTATCGGCAACGTATTGCCTGTCTCTCTATTTAATGTTTATTTTCTTAAGGTATTATTACGTTATACAAAAGACATGAAATAAAAAAGCTATCATATAGTATCACATTATATATCAAATAGTATATACATTCACTCGAATTTAAATATTGAAAATAATTGTGTTGCCTCGATACTAACATACTATTGCACTCGACTGTACTTTTCTATGTAATGTACAGTGGAGTGCACTAAATGATTTGCCTTGGAAGGTTGTTAAATTAATACACACAACTCCACGTGACTGTAAGTACAGTAGCAAAGTTACTATGTGACATTTTTCATCGAATTTTGTCAGAATGTAGTTCAATTAATAGCTGCAAATTAATAAAACTTATAACTATTCATAAATATTTATCTTCCGTGATAGCTCAGTGTCCGGGCGCTCGCTTTCATTCAATATACTTGATAAAACGGACTACAAATGGCGGCACCAATGAAATGGCTCATTGCTATTTTGACTGTTGACATATCACGTGGAACGAAACCTGCATATTTTCGAAATAGTTATTAAAAAAGTACACTTCAAATATGCGAAGTCTGCCCATGCAGTGGGGTCGCGTGTTGGACTATGCATTGATACAGAGGAGGCATCTTTGCCCAACTGTGGGACGTATACAGCCTGTAATTTTACTTTACTTCTGTAGTCATAAGTGATGTCGGTAGTAAAATAAATGTGATAAGGTGCAAAGTAATTGGAAACTTAAACGAGCCATGTATATTTGAGTATATTTGAGTATTGTAAATAATGTGTTAATTGATTTTTCTCTCCGATTCTAAATAAATAACTGTCTTAAATCGTAAATAGTTTATACTGACGAATAGTTAAAAATAAAATGGCGAATAAATCGTTAGGTACTACTTTCGAGTCGTAGTTTCTATATGCAACTATTTTGCGAATATAATATAACCTTAATTTCCGTTATAATGAAAACTAAAAGTATTTCAAATTTCTAAACATGTTTTCATGTAACATTTAAATAACCCATAATAAAAGCTTAATGCTATTCAAAATATTATGGGAACAGGCCATCTTTATAATAATAAAAAAAAAACGGTTTTCGCCTCAAGTACAATAAATCAATGCACGCGACTGTACTTTGCTATAATTCTTTTAGTGCTATTATTGCGTCTGAGCAAGTCAGTTACATTAAATCTTAGCTTAGCTAACTTTTCATATTATCCGTGAGGTGTCAAAAAATTATAATTTTAAAAGGGCCTCGTGTGCTTGAGTCTTGTATATAAGGTATTAAATGTATTTTCCAACTGAGTCTTCGTGCTGGAACTGTCTAGGAAGAATTAACGTTAACATGAAAAAAATATATAGAGATATATTTATGTCTGTCCAACAAAACTATTGTTTATTGAAATGATTCAGTATTATTAAAGAAAGGCCACCAGCCAACATAAAAATACAATATAATGATATAATAGAAGAATTTAAGTGTATTGTACCACAACAGAAATAGAAAAATAAATAAAAAAAAAGATGGAAAATATAATATAGATGTGTAACTTTGTGTTTTGGCGCCTTGTGAGAAAAAAAAGGGAAAATATACTAGATGTATCAAACTTAGTTTAATTTTAGCGCCCTTTTAGCTATTTTTTAAATCGGCGCGAGTCGGAGAGCGAACGGTCCGTACAATAATAACGATTGTGACTAAAAGTAGAATCTTAACGCTTCCTTATTCATAATCCATTAAAATTATTTTTGTTTCACTTGAATTATTTATGAATTTATTTATAATTATATCGTTACTTGTAATAAACCTTTGTAAATATCTAAACATTGTTTTATTTTTACCCACACTTACCATGACCGTTGCAAGCAATGTTTTAATCTCCATATAAAGCTCTGAATACAGCGGATAGCAATAAATCTCTTTCAGCCTTAACAATAAGCGTTGCTAGTAAACAACAAAATTTGAAATGGTGCAACTAGAAAATTACTTTTTTTAGGTTTTTTATACTAAATGTTATTGCACCATGTCTCGGTCTCGGCCCAAAATCTATTTTATTCTTGGTCTCAAAAAAAAAGGTTCTGCCGGACCTTAGTAGTTGGACTATTAGATTCCAAAAATTAGAACTTCACATAAAATAAATGACAATTATAATCAATGAGCTATATGGCCAGCCCATCGCCACTTCAGCTTGCTAATCCTCCGAGCTATGTCGGCCGACCATACAGCTCGTAGAACCTATAACCGTTGGGGAAGAAAGGTTCTCGAATGGCAGCCGCATACTGGCCATCGCAGTGTAGGAAGACCCCCCGACTAGATGGAGCGACGTGCGGGAAGTCGATGGATGCAGGTGGCTCAGGATCGCACATCTTGGCAGTCTGTAGGGGAGGCCTATGTACAGCAGTGGACTCAAACAGGTTGAAATGATGATAATGGTGATGATGATAATCAATGATATTATAGGTATACAAATACGTGGTAAAGGTAAGGTGTAATCAGATTGCAAATCTATAGACTGCTATCTCTTTCCGTACAATACGTCCTATATCATCCGTCACATTCATTCATACATGTCATATAATGTAAAGCGGAACAATTTTTAAACGTCGCGCAGTATGGACACGCGTCATCTTTATTAATGCCAATATTCTAAGATTATTTGTCTCTATCACCCGCATGCGATATACATAAATGTATGAATATTGTTACACGTGAATGTAGTACCTACCTACAGAATCACTACATAGTATAAAACAAAGTCGTCCCGCTGTCTGTCTTTCCCTATGTATGCTTAGATCTTTAAAACTACGCAACGGATCTTAATGCGGTTTTTTTACTAGGTAGAGTGGAATCAAGAGGAAGGTTTATATGTATAATAAATTGCACCCGTGCGAAGCCGGGGCGGGTCGCTAGCTACATAACATAAACCTCTTAAAAAAACGGAAATAATGACACAATTTCACTAATCACAAGAGTTCAAAAATAAGGAAGGAAGAATTAACATAGTATCAGTTACGTACGGTATGTACGTATGTATATAATGTAAACCCACATAAAATTAACTCTTTATTTTAATAATTATTATAATTTAACAACAATGTTGATAAATTCGTGACGATTCGTGCGTAAAATATATTGAAAATGTAATTTTAATCGTTGATAAATGACAACGTTTGAAAAAGAAATGAAATTCGAGAGGAATTTCCCCGACAAGCCGGTGTTTGTCGAGGTTAAATAAAATAAAATAATAACAATTACGGCTATAAAAACGATTGGGGCACTTTAACAATGCGGCGGATATTATCTTCTCCGGATTTTTATTAAAAAAAAAAACGAAATAACATTAACATTGTGATCCTGTGTGCTTTTAAAAGTTTGCTCTTTGTTGCTTTAGCCTTACTGACATTACACGGGATAAATTAGAATATTAACATTGGATAATACTCTCTAATTCCGCGCAACTTTCGGTTAGTTCGGGATAGTTGTCAGCCTACAGTGGTCGCTAACAAGGTGACCCTTGTCCGGATACCCTATTACTGGGCTAGTTAATGGTGAACTTGGCCTTTATTTGAGCCACCTTTGAGCTTCATTAAACGGACGTAGCTAGGATGGAAATTTAGTTTTAATCCGATTTAACCGAAGGGTCACTCCACTGACACGGGAGCGGATTTTAGGGTACCAATATCAAGCAGTCTCTATGTTCGTTATCGTTTTCTGTTTGTTATGAGAT